CAATTCTAGGATTGCATAACGTTATGCAAATTCTTTTCATTGGAGTCATTGTTGTGTGTCAGCTATTATGCTCACATTACAAACGGCATTGTTGTAAAATTAATGTCCGATCCATCCCAATATGTCCAAGTATCTACCTACTAATTTAATAATGAATCCCTATATTTCTAGAATATCAACCATAGATTTTATTTTCTTTCTTATTATTACTAATTTAATTTAATAAATGATTACAGTAGGTAACTAACTATTTTTTTTTTGTGAACACGCCAAAGGATAACACTTCGATTACTATAAGTAAATGTAGGTATTAGACAAAAGTATTAACATGGATTTGAGATAGACAGAAACTCACACAAACTTGCAACTAGGCTAAATATGTGCTAATTTTATTGTGAAGTAATAACTTTCTGCAGTCAATCAGATCTCGCTGCAGAATACAGCTATTTATTTTTTATCGGCCGTTGAAAGTTTATTTACTTAATCTGAAGAAGCTTCGTAATATGCAGTATTTAAAAAAATGATATATAATGATACTTTCAATTGAAACCTTGTGATACATTCATATTATTCGTAAGAAACATAATTGCAACTGGTTACGAGTTATGTTAGTTGCAAAAGGTTGGTGATTACGGTCGCCCAACCTTAGCTAGTTTAAAATGGATGGTGAATATAACTCGATATTGTGTTTATTAAATGTTAATACTAAGTTCCACTACTATATTTTGGGTTCGCAATTGCAAAACTATCCATTGATAACCTTTAACCACTAAAACTAATCTACGTTTAACCATTATAATTGATTAGGTACCAAATTTGCCCATAATATTAGCAAGTTTAGTAATCAATTTTATATGAAGTTGACTTTAAGTATACCAAAACTAGACTAACGAGGTGATTTTCAAAAATAATTATTCTATGTGAGAAACAAACCCAACAACACCAGTCACGGAAATCAAGAGTGAGGCAAGTTATACTGGGAAGTGAGTCATCTAGTAAAATAGTAAATTAAAATCTTTTTTTTTTTTTATTTATTTATTATTATATTCACATTAAAAAATACACAATATATGTGAAGTCCCTGACTGCTGAGCTAGGCTCTTGGCCTGTGTTACAGAAGTCAGTGTCTTCTCCCATTATGAGGAACACAGAAATCTTATGCAAAAATAAGTGCAGTGAGATGAGTAAATGTGATGAAAGTGCGTAGTGTGGAGTGTGCCGTGCGTTTGTGTTGTGTATGGTATTTAAGTGTATGGATGTATATGTAAGTATGTATATGGAGTGAGAGATGTATATGGTCAGTTTTTAGTCTTTATGATAATAATTTTTCAGTTTGGTCATAGTCTATACCAAGCAACACGTTTTAGATTCTAGACATAGCAGTGCTCTCAAGTAAAAACTCATTACGTCAATAGGTAGGTGGGATAGATATTTGAAATAGTTTAACGGTAAATCGCATCATGTTCAAACTCTTTCAATATAGAACTTGTAATTAGCACCGCCGACAAATGACGTTAAAATATACTTATATCTTGTTGGTGATACATGTTGGCGATTGTTGTTATTCACTGGAGATTATTGTACTTTCATCATCAACATCATCAACAGGCTAAAGTAGTCCACTGCTGGACACAAGGCCTCTCCTTAGAAAAGAGGTTTTGGCCTACTACAGCACGTTGACCAGACGGGTTGGCATAGTGTTTCTGTCAAGTTTTCCTTCTCTTTGCAGTGCTGTTGTTCTGTGTAGATTGCTCCCTTAGGCCCCGTGCAGCGTCGCCAACGCGCTGTCGGCGTCATTCTGCCTAACCTCGAAGCTTGAGTAGGTAGGGAGTAAGGCGCGTCACCTACTGACTGATGCAGTACTCACTGGGCATGGTTGTTTCGGTGAGTATCGATTGGACGCGAGACGATGGCACAATGCCAGCACTACGCAGCCGACTGGAACTCCGCCTCCGCGTGGGCGTCTGAACATTAAGTCCTGGTCGACCAAATCGGACTAGACCTGTCCCCGCCAGCAATCATTGTGGCCATGCTGGCGGGTGAGGAGGGCTGGGGCGCAGTAGTCTCTTCGGGACCGGGAGAGGGCCGATACCGAGCGTAGAGGACGTCGGCAGCGTTACTTGCCGTCGAAGGCGCTGCTAGCTGCCAGAAGGTGGGCACCTCTGGTGACAGATTAACTGCTGCGGCAGGTCATATGATGGCGGTCTGGTTGGAAAATGCGATTGGCAACATATTATAATGATTGAGCTGATAGGCGGGGGAAGCCCGCGACTTTCACGGGATACGGCATTACTAGGCGCGGCGTCGATCCGGGGTGGTGACCTGAAATAACATGGTCCGGGTCCTCCACGGAGGAGGCAGCTTGAGTCCGGTCATGGGGGTGGCTTTTAGTGGAAACACTATATAGTCCTGTCTCCTGCGTCCTCAAGGAGCCGGAGATCAGAAGGTATTTTCCACCCCTTCAACAAAATAAACGGCCCCATAGGCAATTGTTAAAAAAGTCAGAGATTACATTTAAATTCTTTAATATTTGTGTTCAATACAATTTGGTTTGGCAATCTATTATATACTTTTGAGAGCGACGAAAGTTTTTATAGGCAGCATTTAAGCGACGTCGACTTTCCACAGAGTCAAATAATTCAAAGGTCAATCTTACTAAAATAACGACCTCATAAATGTAAAGCGATGGTACACTGTCGGTTTTAATTTACAAATGGCACGTCTTTTAATGCCAGTAATACATTTGATGCGTGGGGCGCGTTTCCCCAGAATATAATGCCATATCTCGAAGTGGAGGCGATATAACCATGGTAAACTATTATTAGTGTGGTCTTGTTCGCTAGTCTAGTTAAAATCTGGGGCGGTATACTATGGGGATCTTGTGTCAACTAGGGTGAATTTTCGTGCGTTTAGGCGATTCTGCCATACATATTATAGAAATCAAACATAGCTCACATAGGACCCGTAATATTTGTGGCCGTGGTGCTACCCTGTTTAAAAGGGTGTATGCCCATTTTACTTCATTTTGTCTCCCGCTTTGCTAAGGAGGGAAGTGGATTTACTGTATTTCCAACTCCTCCAATTTTCTTCTGATTAATTTCGTTGCGGGTTCCAAGACAGTTTAATTTCTTCCTGGGACTTCCCGAGTGTCATAACTCGGTGTGTTCGTGGGTCACTGCTGTGGATCCTGGTGTACAGGAGTTACAGTGGTGGGCGTGTGGGTGGGATTAGTCCCCATAGTCTAGTTATAAAATAGATAGCAAAAAAGTTGACCTGCGCAATTGCAATCTACCTCTTGTGACAAGTTACCAGCCAGCCACTGATCGCTTCAAGTCGCGCAACCACTGGTCACCAGTCGCGGGCACGCTGCACCTACCCATATGTATATGTGTAACTTGTATACTTATGTGCAACCGAATCGTTCTTAAGGAGTAAATTCCAGTCGTGCGTCGGAGCTGACACACACTTTTTATTCATAACAAAAACTAACGCTAGAAACCGTTTCGTATTACAGAAACGTTAACTTTATAATATTTTATCTGTATTAGTATTTGCATCGAAGGCCTTATATGCATAACATGCTCGCAAAGGATAGTGCGGAGCGGGACCAGGAGAGGTTTAGAACTCTTCCGGTCCAGCAGGTGAGTATAACAAGTGAGGTGGTATTGATCGCTGAGGGTACTCCTCCTTCCTATTACTATTATTTTTGTCATTAAATACTGTTAACCATGTAGTAAAACCTTTTTAAGGAAGTGTGGCTACCATTAAAACATCTAATATCAACATTTTATTTATTCGTTGATAAAACAGAGTTTAATTTGTCTGACATTGTTAAATATTATTAACAATTACTATGTAGTATATTTTCCGTAAGTATAAAAAACAAAATTATCACAATATAGGCACAATTTATATTCTTTATGAAAAAGACTTAGGTACTAAGCTGCAACTACCTAAATTATGGCAAATTAAATTAATCTTTATCGTTTTTCTTGTTATAATAACAATAGAACATATCCATTCCCAAGAAAGCCTGCATACATACAACAATCAATGGACGCAAAGAAAAACCATTAAAAAATTATACAAAGTATTATATAGACATTAATTATTGTCCTATCTGACATTCGAATTCACAAGACTCGACGCGGTAATGTCAGCGAGATCACTATTTATGCGTTGTCAAATTATCCATTCTAATCATTTTCCATCAGACAGTTATTTCGAAGATAGTGTCATTCGTATGGGTTCGTAAATAAATATATGTTAAACTTCTAGAAGAAATGAATGTGGTTTAGGAAATTCTTGTCTCGTACTTTTAGGGAGTCTATGTCTAGATATGCCATACTGCTTTACGATTACCGCATCACTCATAAATATAATGCATAATGCTAAATAATTCGTATTGTAAAAACATGCCTCATTGAATTATGATTTTTATATTTTTATACAAAAATCGAAAGGTATTTTAATTTTTCAAATTCAAGGAATGTATTATTAAGCTGAAGATAAATTGCTCTCCATAGTTGCAGCATAGTAAATTTAGCTTATATCTCTCATAGTCAGCTACATTTTGTTCTTAAACTAATACACCAAATATTCAAACGAGCATTCTTGTAACAAGCAGTACGATACTAAAAAACGACGACTAAATGCTAGGTGCGGGTGCAACAAATGTATAATGTACTACAATATAACAGTATCCTACAGTATAGTAGATACATCTTGTTACAATTTGGATTAAAAACTAACTTAGATAATATTACACGTAGAAAATAGTTACTAAGACAAGATAAAAGTCAGTCATCAGGCATTTCACTGTAGCACTACTAATTTTCTACTGGTGACTATGCTTAGTATCAGGTAGCACTGTGAACATATCCGTCAATGTTTGCCTACACATGGACGGCCAATGAGTTCGTTCTCAACCATGATTTCCCCTTTCAAATGTTAATGTACGTGTATCGTTTGAAAGCTACTTAGTTTTTATATCATTAGAATTACCAGAATGGACACCAACCAACATAACATTGGCACAAGTTCTCATTGCTAGTTGCCTGTTGAATGAGCAGCTCTACTTGTTTTTGTACCGATACTATCTCATCTATATGGGGGAAATCACGACCGGTTAATTTGTCCCGGACTCTGTTCACGATGGCTAAAGCCCGTTTGTTGAGATTGGTCTCCGCTGGTGGGTCTAAGGTATCATTTAATCCTATATGAACTCTGCTTCTACTTGGTTGCGGGGAAGTTGCGGGCTCCGACGTCGAGCACACTTCGGCATCCGCTCGTGAACGTCTGCCCGCGTCGATGAGCCTCCAGTTGAGTAAAGGATCGTACACGAAAGCTTCAAGCACAGCCATTACGCTGTCTTTATGGCGGTGCAATACCTCCATGACTGATTCACAGGTACGACGATATGTACCCTCAATACCTGTTACCTAAAACATAAAAAAATATTTTACTGGTTAAATACTTAAAAAAATAATAGTTTAAAAAACTAAAAAACACGCTTTTTATAGAAAACCAAACTAAAAAATTGAAAATAAATTTGAAAAAATAATATAAATAACTATAAAAAGCGTGTTTTTTAGTTTTTTAAACTTTTTAGTTTTTTGTTATTTTTTTTAAATTAGTGTATTGTCATCGGTCCTCGATATATCTACGGTTTGAACGAATTCTGACCGTTTAAAGTCAGTCAAAATCACGCCCAAAGGAGTCGGTTACAAACAAACATACAAACATACAAGTGAAGCTAATATAAAGCGTGTAAAAATACTAATATTTTGTGATATGTGCAACGTGTTCTCATTCGGTTTATAAGGAATAAATCGTTACTATTTTTATGCGCTGTGGAAGTTTATTTTAAGTGGTTAAATGTTAAAACCGCATGGAATCAATTAATAGAAAACATGGTAGAAAAATGTGCATAACCATAATTGTTGTTTGTTGACTGTGCCAATCAGATCCTACAGACGACCTACCCGTGGGTTGCGTTAAGTGTGGACCTCTTTTGCTTGTGAATAAAAATGAACTTACCTCCATGGCATTGATAAGCATCCGGGTTAGCCTGAAGGGTATTTTTTCCGGAAACTTATCTCTAGTTACAGCCACTTCAAAACAGTCACCAAAGTCAATATGAAGAAATTTTCCAGTGACTCTGTCTAACATGATGTTTGAAGGATGTCTGTCTCCGAGGCCGAGGATGTATCCGACCATGCTCATAACAGCCAAAGAGCGAGTGTAGTTGGTACGACGTTCGAACCAAACTTCTGAAGACGGACTCTTTAGCCAGAGCAATTTCGCGAGATCGTCGCCGGCGGTATGTTCCAATGCATGCTCAAAAACTTCCACCTGTAACAATAATTTAGATATAACGGCGGGTACGATCTTTATAAAGGACGGAGATTTAATTAACAGTAAGATAAACCACCAATAGGGTTAAACCGTTGTTGACTAAATTCATTATTTTTATATCTAAGATATACTCTTTCACAATGAATTTGAAATAATTTAAAATAACTTTTTTTAACAGACTGGCAAAATTTTATGTATATTTTCTGCTTAATATACATTCAATTATGACAATAAGACAGAAATTTCGCCAGTGGCATTTTTGTTTTAATAGTACTTCTTTTCTTAGGCTCACAAGTACACATATTTTAATTTTTATTATTATTACTAAATCTTAACTCATTCGGTTAGAAAGAAAACAATATTCTGCATGTAATACAAACCTTTTGCATTAACATCAATTTATCCAAATCTGACGCCATTCTCTGCATGATTCTATGTTCGATATTCAATAAACACTTTCTCTTATCCCTGTAATCCCTTATAAGAGAATGCAGAGTATCACAATGTGGCACCCATCCAATAAGCCCCGAATTAGTTGATAATGGAATAACAGCATATCTTTGGATAGCTAAATCCCTGCGGAAAGTGTCAGGGTCGGCTTGTAGAAGTGTATTGACTAGCCCGAATAGCTGCATCACACGTTCGTCTTGACGAAGATCCTCGTGGCCCTTTAGAAGAAATATGTAGTCTTTGCCATTGGAGCCGCGAATAGACAACCGTCGGGGACGTTGTTTGGAGGTGATAACCTGTTTGATAAGACCAAAAAAAGCATGTGTGAGCAAGTGTCAATATTGTGCATTCTTTTTCTTATCATTTATAAATATTTATATATATTAATTAATTTGCAAACTTTAATAAATTATATTGCGAAATTGTTTTCGATTGGTCACTAACCTGCAAGCTACTTTGTATGTGTGCGATTCTGATGAGATCTTGATCTGGAACGTATGACCCAGGAACGGCAAGCTCGAGATCTCGACAATGCAGGAGCCTTGGGCTCACATACTGAATCTCAAGAGATGTCAACTGAGGTAATTGCCGACTAATGCGCCGGAACACGTGGTAGTAAAGATCCCAGGCTTGGTTTAAGTCACGGACCAAACCAGACGTCTGAAATAGTAAAATTTAGATTTTAAGTTTGGTTATGTTTCTCGATAAATATAAATAGAAACCACAAAGAGGATAAGCAGAACTATGACTACGTACTCACTACGTTAATGTTTTTATTTTCCCCTTAAAACAAGTGCTGGTCAGTTTCGAATACCAAGGGTGGAACATATATTGTACAAGATTTAACAAAAACAGGAAAAAACACGTCCTGTGTTCGTAGGGCCACTATTTAAAATTTAATAAACATTCACATTGGTAGAACTCCTAACTATTTATTTTTAATAGATGAGTTTAGACAGGACAGCGGGGTTATATATTTCTATGGATACGGAACCCTAAAAGAACTAGACAGGTAGGAGTCTGACTCACACACCCAGAGTTGACTGCAAACTTGTATGTAAATAATTTGAATTACATAGAATTAATTCATGAACATTTTTAACCCGTTCTAAAAATCTACCATAATGGATCAAGTTTGAAATATACATCAATAAAAATACTAAATAAGCAAAATTTAATAAACACCTTGTATCTATTGCACCAATCCTGTGCTTCATTCAGATCTCTTCCATAAGCGTGGCTAAACGACACTTCTTTCATGGTCTGAGGACCTCTCTCTAACATTGCGTGCAACGGCTCTAATGTTCTAAACATAGCGTTCACGTCATTTTCACTAAAATATAATCTTGAAGCCTCTTCTAACGCTTCGTGCCACTGTTCATGCCATAATATGGCCACTCGAATAAGCTCTTCCGAAATCATAGCAGCTTGATTCACCAAATTAATTGAATGGGTACACATTGACTTCAAGACCTGATTGGCAGCATTCTTTCGTGCTATGAACGACGACTTTGAAGCCACCGTTAATGGATACACTAGAGCTTGAGGGTGAGATTTACCAATATCTATCAGAAGAGAATGAATTAACTTGCCAACTAATGCTCTTGGCGTATCGATTCTGGCTATGAGTTGAGGTATGACTTGCAGCCATACGTTTATTTCAATAGTTCTGATACCTTCGACTAACGCTTCATGAACGGCGGGGTAATGACCATAATCAAACCACAAAGTTAACAACCTCAAAGTATCTTGTAGAGAACTGCCGTGAGAAAGTTTTATAGACTTAAAAAATCCTTCAACTGCAGGGACTGTATACTGCTGAATACACTCAGGAGAAGGTCGCCTTTCTCCTGATCCACCACTAGTATTATTTGTGTCTTGATGTTTATAGAACAAAACTGTTTCAAAGTTCATGTAAGCCCATGCATGCCATGCTTTGTACCAATCCGAAGATAGTTCTGTAGCAGCTTCGTAATTGCGAAGAATTTCAAGAACAGAGCGTTCATTAATTCCAAGTAGAGACTCACACCATGATCCCAATTTCAAGTGACAACGAGCCAATAATCTACAATGTTCAGCGTCACCTGTCTCTGTTCTGTCTACATATCTTTGCAACTGGTCATAAGCCAACTGTCTGTCACCAGCTACCCACAAATGTTTAGCATATGCTAGTGTCAACCTTGGCTCGTGTGTAGGCAGTGGCATATCCCGATTTTTGCTCGGATCTGTGCCCAGCAACATAACTAACGTTTTATGTGCCTGGCGTGGCGCACCACTTTTTCGACACAGAGATGCAAATTTTAGCCAAGTGGCCATGTCTTCTTGTGGTGTCAAAACTAAACTTCTGACTTGTAATATTCTACGCCAATCTTCTACCAACCTTTGCCCACCCTGAAGTCTCGTCCACCAAGCTTGCCTAATAGATTCCCTCCTCTCCAAAACAGATTTATAAGTGATTACTTCTTCCAATTCTGCCAATAGCTGAGCATTTACTAAAGCACCATATGCTCTTTGATAGCTCTCACCAGCCACAGCTGTAAGTTCAGAATCTAACAAAGACCGTGCTTGATCAATGTAAAACCTTGATTGATTGAATTGCTCATTATGAATATTGAGTACAGCTCTGTAGAAAGCACCATCTTGAGTGTTTTCAGGTAAGAAGTTGACATACTTTGCCATTGACTCCCACTCGTTTAAACCCCAAGCAGCAGCAGCTGCAAGTCTCGCTGCTTTATACTTTTCGTCGTTAGTCATACTGACCCATTTCTTTGAAACGGTATTGTAAAGTTCTACCCACTCCCCTAATGCTTCGAAACAACGCAACTCGCCAAGATAAGCTTCCATATCATTTGAATCCACTGATAACTTCTCACCGTAAAGATCAAGGGCTTTCTCAAAATTGTGTAGTTTTTCATACCATCTGATTTGCACTTTAAGATCTGCATCACCAGCTTCGCGTTGCGCCATAACTCTCTCTAATAGACCCTCAGCTGCTTCCTTCTGTTGAAGCTTATTATTAATATGGATTAATGCTTCCACAACTTGAGATGTAGCACCACTCCGGAACTCTTCCTCCTAAAACAGCAAACATACAATATTCATCATCAATCTTTAGTAGTCCACTGGCTGGAAATAGGCCTCTTCTTAGAGGTTTTAAAATAAATCTAATATTACAACGGGAGAATGACATCCTCATTGAACAGGTAACAGAAATACAGAAATGTATAATAATTACCTTGTAATGTAAGGCTTTCGCGTACGCTCGGCAGTGCATGGCCCTTTCTCCTAACAAATGCGTAGATATAGGTAGAGGGCCGCTTTCACAATGCTCCATAAATTCAGCAAGATTTAAAACTGTGTGGGCCAATTCTGGAGCGTCAGGTGCAGTTAAAGCTTGCTCTAAGGCATTTGCGAGTTCTGTATGCCACGGTGGTTCAGTTAACTCAGTCCAACATGATACAAAGGCAGCATTGAATAAGTCTCGTAGAAGTTGTGAATAATTGTGAGCTAAAGCCAGACATGCCCTGTGAAAAGTTAAATATTTTACGATTACTCAAATGATTCACTTCACCCAGGCAATTTATAACAAAATCATCATAAATCGGTTTGCTACTGTTTACATCATTATATTTTAATATGAAGGCGAAGTTCAATATATGAACTTCTTATAGGTCACTTTTTAAAAACACACAATTCTTATTTAATATATTCAGGATTATGAAAGTATATTAATAACACAAGTACATATAAAGTATATATATAAACATTAAAACATTAAGTTCAGCATACCTAAGAGCAGGACTATGAGATTCGGTAAGCAGCCCAATGCTAAATCTTCTTAGCCATTCAAGCCAGTCATCCTTTGATACTCGAGAGCTCACGGTCCACGCCAGCTTCAAGTTATGGGCATTTACGCACAACCTGCGTATCGACTGAGAAGTGTCGCACGATGTCACAATACGAGCCTGAAAAGTAGTAAATAAGTAGTAAAGTAAGTTTATTAAAGGTACGAGGTACCGGTTCTCAAAGAAAGTATTACGCCCTGAAAAACAAGCTTAAAATTTTGCACTTATCGCAACTGTAACCGCAGCCTCTGTTAACGATTTGAAATAAAACTAAAAAACTTTAAAAGTTTATTATAACAACGCGCGCACGGTCTAAACGCTCAGAACGAGTGATTTGGGTAAGCCATAATTTAGTACCGCGTGATTTCTTTCTAAAGACAAAATCTGATACTCAAAACACTCAAAAACAATTTGTATAAATTGTTTTTGAGTGACTTTGTCGTATGGCAAAAGGGTTAAATATGAATATAAAATTATGTACCTCTTGGTTATTATTCTTCGGCCTACGTCTCGTACTTTGCAAAAATTCGTCCATCGCCAGTGTTTGACTTGATTGCATGCGTGACAACAGTAACTCATAATTTTGATGCTGTATTTTATGCTTCACAACCACTTTTTGTACCAAAGGAATGAAGTCGGTGAATTTTCGACTGAGTTGTACAATCAACGCGCATAATGTATCCATAGCAGTGAGCCGCAAAGAAGCGCAGGTGTCCAGACTTCTAACCAAAGGATGAATTATTCTGGATACCAGTTCGCTATAATTCAAAGAGTCTGACAGATAGTCTACTGTTTCCATTGCTACTTTTGCCACATTTATCGGACAATCTGACGCGTCAAATAATTTGACGATTGATGGTATCACTAAATGCATATAGTCATCTAAATTATCTTCAAATTTTTGTAATGCGAATAACAACTTCTCTGTGACCATTCTATCTTTGCTGGTATCATGCGCAAGAACTCTTAAAATCTGTGGCATTAGTTGGGGTAAATAAACCTTGAACTCGGACCCAAGAGCCACAGCGATGTATTCAACTAATAAAATTAGTGTTGGCTGGAAGGGACTATTTGGAGTCCAAAATTCTCTGATCAAGTCAAAAATCTTATCCAAATAATTGCGAATGTGTTGTTTGACTATGGCAATCAATCTAGCTAGTTGCGTGAAGAGGAATTCTCTAAAGTTATTGCTGTCTGTAGCTCTAGCCACGTATAGGAGGCTAGGGGTAACCCTTGAAATATAGGGAACGCATTTGATTCCCAAAGACTGAAAGATAAAAGTCACTGCTTGAACCACACTTGTGTGATGTTGTTGAAGTGTAGGATCGCGTAATATTCTCATAAGTGTGGAAATGACTATCGCTGGATAGTATTCGTCGAGAACAGGAGACGACATATTTACCAACATCTCACTTGTCGTCATGTCAAAATTATTCTCTTCCGCTTTACTATCAGCTACTGGAACCAAACTGGAATCGGGCTGCTCACCAATTAGCCCTCTTGTTATCTTATGTTTATATGGATCTAAAGCTCCTAGTAAGCCTAAAACTCGAATAGTTTCCCTTCTATCTTTTGGTTGTTGTTCGGTCTTTAGGAAATTAAGTAAAACATCCATGAGATTCGGATAATCTGTGTAAGGTGTAACAACATATCCCGTAGCGCTAATCAATTGGCCAAAAGCCCATAAAGCTACGCTCCTTTTTTCCGTTGCAGTAGCATCAGATAATAGTTCAAGAAGAATGGTAAGTAGTTCTGGCAAACATTTTTTCAGCCCGCTATTGTCACCATGTACATCAGCTAAATTACCTACAGCTTTTAGGACACTGATAACTACACCAGGATTAGAATCAGACTCTTTGAGTTTTGGTACTAGAACATTGAGTATTGTTTCCATATAAGGTTTAACAAGCTTCGGAGCATGGAGTATAAGATTATTCAACATTCGTGCAGCTTGTTCTTTATTCCTACTCATTCCTGAATGTTCCAACTCTGTCAAAAACTGTATCAAAGTTTTTCTTAGCCCAGGCATGACATAGGCTGGATTGACGACACTCAATCGACCAACAGTACATATGGCCAATTCTCTGATAGCCACATGCTCATCGTTCATGGCCATGAAGAGAAAACCCAGGTTCTCAATTTGAGCCAAATGTATGTCGAAAATATTATTCAAGGATTTCAGAACCCAATAACGAACTTCGTAATCTGGATCGGTAACTGTTACCACTAAAAGCTTTCCAACTACTTCTGCAGTCAAAACAGTAAGAGTCCTTGAAGGTGTTTTTATAGTTCTGGTAATAGCATCAGCTAACAGCTTGGCAGCTGTTTTTACTGCTTCTAATCGAACTTCTTGTTGGTCACTTTGCAAGAAGTGGTCAGTGCAACGTCTAACGAACGTTAGTAAGCTGTGTTGCCCTTCAAAATTGAACGTCCCTAGAGTTCGCAGTGCAAGCACAATACTAGCTGTATCTTGTGGTTCAATGGCTAGACTCATGTTACTCATTTGCTGTTCCAAACTTCTTGGTACTCCAGGGTGTAAGAAAGGTTTATTTCTTAGCACCAAAGAAAGCATATTTAGTAAGCCTTCTGTTATTTCTTCTTTTAGAGAGGGTAAGTAACAGCTTAGTTCTCTTAGACAAGTTGTTAAGGATGCACTGAGACCTGTAGCAAACATGGCATCAAGTATTTCTTTAATATCGTTGACTACAAGGTGTTCAACAGCACTTGCTAGTAATGTAATACAAACGAAGATTGAGTGATCAATGCCAACTCTCTTCTTTGTTTGCGAGTCTCTTATGGGCAAAGCTTGTTTGATGGCATCCAGTATACTAGGGATATAACTTTTGATGTCATTTTCAATAGCTGCAGCCATTAGGCCTAATGTTATGAAGGCCATATTTCTATCCCTCTCTCTACTTCGATGGACACATGAAAGTAAGTAATTCATTGTGGAACTAAGGTATTTCTTTAAGAAGTAATCTTTATTAAAAGCAGCAAGCCTTGGAATAATAATGAGAAGAACTTGTGGTATTCCTTGTGTTTTGAGAAGTCGCTGGGACATAACATCTGGAAACGTAATTTTTTTTATTAGCTTACATTGCTATCATATGCAATTTCATGATATAAAGGATTTTTTAACCCCTAAAATTATATTTTTAATGAATTTCTTGAAATCTGTGGATTAACTGTTTGCATTGGTATTTTTTTAAAAGATGCTCATTTATTTCATTATTATGGTGGGTTATAGATAGATAGATAGGCACACTTGTGTTGGAATTTCTAAGGTTAAATTTTCCAATGATCTCAAGTATCTAGTATGTGTGTCATGAATTAATGCGAATCGCTTCTTTAAGTTATCCTAAAGTTAAAATGATCACCATGGTAAAAGTGACAACAATCATACATTATAGCCATCATTGCTTTTACTTAACAAAGTCTTTGAAGTGCAATTGTGTACAAATTACCTCCAAAGTTCACTAGTTTCTAACAAATGTACATAGCAAGCGATGTCGGTCAAGTTCGGTCCCGATCGCGACGACTTGATAAACGGCTCAGTGCAGCGAATTGCAGTAGCAAACAATAAGTATGTTCAGTGCTAACCCCAAATAGGTAACTAAATTATGAATTGTCATCGATCGGTCGCAAGTAGTAGCTCATCGTTAGTCGACCGCAAGCTGCACTGTTATTCGGAAGTCGCCGCGACCATAGTCGCGCGACATCGCTAGCACGCTGCACGAACTCTAAAGCTACCTATTATCTTACATCAGTTTGTATATTTACCTAAATTGGTGAAGGAAAAAATTTCTGCAAATGGTTTGCCTTTTTCAATTAGGAATTTATATTAATTTTGAAGAATATTGTTGTTTTATTACTGAGATACCCGGAAGAAAGTTTTTGAAACCTTAACTTTAGCAGTTAGTTGTATCTCACTTGTCATTTGGGATACATATCTTTCTTGCTCTCATTGGACATCTGAACAGTGTGTTTCTAGAAAAACAACCGCACTTACGATGGTGACTTTCGTGTCGACAATGGTACATTTGAGCTCATGTATGAATGAATTAAATCAAAAAAAATCTGCGACAAGGACACCAAAAAACATTTGTGCTTTATATGGTGAAGTGTTAGGACATCGTCAATGCCAAAAATGGTTCAAAAGATTCAAATCTGGAGATTTTTTTTCATTCTCGACAAACTAAGCACCTAATGTTATCGATGAAGATCGGATAGCATATGAAATTGAAGACAATACTGAAATCACAATATGTATAAGAATAAGCAGGTAAAACAGGGATATCCAGCATTCACTGGAGCTTCAAAAACAAAGAGGGATTGGGGGATGGAGTTACTCACGTCCGTAGGAACTACCACCTTTCCTAGGCCCACCCTACACGTGTCCCCCGGGTGGTGCAAAACGAGTAACAACGCCGAGTCTCAGGCGGCGGTAAAGTATCCTGAACAATATGAGCTAACAACTCATACTAGCTGATAGAAGGAAATGTCTATCAGCGGTCGTAAATTCGTTGTCAAGTCTAGCGAAAACGATGACCTTGGCTTAATTGCCTGGGTCGTGAGGAAATAACCTCTTCAAAAATTCCTAATCCTACGGTGTGACCGTGCCTAAAGGATGAATGGCTCGTGGGAGACCAGTCTCAAGCGCAAACCTCGGAGTATCGGGCAATCTCCGTTGTACAAGAGCCTTCTTATGGGAATGGGCGTTACCCTGTAAGTGACCTAAGAAATTCGACCCTACTCGTGGGAACAACATGGCAAATGTAAATACCAATAATACAAATTCACCTAAAATTTTAACCCAACAAATATTTCACAAAGGCCTCTTAATAAACCAAGATCAAACTCTTATGGAAAGTCACCTGTAAAAGACACTAGTGAGCCAATTGGTTTGGACAAGGAAGAAACACAATGCAATACCGCTGCAGAGCCCTGGGAAGATGTCGCAGGACGAAAAAGACAGCACAGCCCAGAACAATGTTTGATAAGCCAAAAACAAGCAAAACTCAATAGCTACTGGTTGAGTGCACCTGTTTCAACTTCCAACAGATTTACCGGCCTTGAAGATGAAAGCTCTGAGAGAGTAGAGAAGCCTCATAAGCCTCCGCCAATATTTGTTGATAAATTCAGTAACATCCAGCCATTAATTAATATGCTTGAAGTTACAATACCAGGCAATTTTGAAATTAAAGTACTACAGTCTGAGCTAGTTAAAATTCAGGCAAACATTGCTGAGTCTTACAAAATTATGTACAAAGAGTTGAAAAAAGGAACACTGAATTCTTCGCCTACCAACCCAAAGACGAACGTAGCTTTAGAGTAGTCCTAAAACATATGCATCCTTCTACTGATTTAGAAGAAATTAAATTGGCACTTGAAGATCTCCAGCATGAAGTAAGGAACATCTGGAACATCAAACATGAACAAACGAAAAAGCCGCTCAGCATGTTCTTTATCGACCTAAAACCGCAGGCTAATAATAAAGATATTTATAAATTGAATAGCATACTCAATTGTAGAGTTCCCTTTGAGGCTCCTAGACCCAAACGACACATCCCACAATGCTCTAATTGTCAGCAATATGGACACACCAACAAATTGTGCGATAGACAACCAAAGTGCGTTAGATGTGCAGGTTCTCATCGCACATCTGACTGCTCCAGGAAGGAACGTTCCGATAAGGTGAAGTGCATCCTCTGTGACGGTAACCATCCTGCGAATTACAAAGGTTGTAAAGTCTACAAGGAGCTACAGAAAATGAAATACCCAGCCCCACCTCCAAAGAAACCCTTAAAGTCACCCCTAAATTAAAAATAACTCGGCCAACTGGAGCAACTAACCCAACATATAGCGAAATAGTACAAAACAACTTACCAACAAAAGACATCACAGACACACAAACAATGGAATCGTTCTTGCTAAAGTTAAATGAAACAATGCAAGCTGTTATGAATCAGATGTTAATAGTCACAAAACTGCTAACAGAACTCACGTCAAAATTGACTTCACATTCCAACCACTAAATATATGTGTGTGGAATGCAAATGGCCTGTCAAACCACTCTGAGGAGTTAAAATTATTCCTAAAAATAAAAAAAATAGTTGTAATGCTAATTTCAGAAACCCACTTTACAAGCAAAAGCTATTTAAAAAAAAAAGGGTACTCCCTGTACCACACTATGCACCCATATGGCAAAACCCACGGAGGCGCTGCAATCCTGATAAAGGCAAATATCAAGCATCATGAGTCCTCACCCTACTCAAAGGAATATCTGCAAGCATCATCCATCGTGGTATCCGATTCAATCAACAAATTAACTTTGTCAGCCGTCTACTGTCCACCAAGACACACCATCAAAAATACTGAGTTTGCTGATTATTTCCGTTCTTTGGAGCCGAGATTTGTCGCTGGAGGTGATTACAACGCCAAACACACGTACTGGGGTTCAAGGCTGATACTGCCTCGCGGTCGTGAACTACTTAGATGCGTCCTCCAAATGAACAACATGTATGTTCTCTCATCAGGCCATCCCACATACTGGCCAACAGATCCCAAGAAAATACCAGATGTCATCGACTTTTGCGTAATTAAGGGAATAGCCAAAAATTATCTGTCCTGCCAAAGCTGTTTGGACTTATCATCGGATCACTCACCAATTATTATTAACCTTTCTACCACCTTAACAGCGGAGGAACCTAGGTGCAATCTACACAATCGTAGAACAAACTGGTCACTATTCCGGCACTTAATTGATACAGCATTGGTTCAACCAGCTAGACTAAAGACTGAGGATGACATAATTTATGCAGTAGAACATTTTACAAGGTCTCTGCAAGATGCTGCTTGGGATTGGCAGGAAAAACATTGGCAGGAAAAACTGGGGAAGATTTGCCCATAGCCCATCACCTTCTAGAGTTGGTAGGACAAAAGAGAAGACTGAGGAAAAGGCGGCAACTATCACAATGGCCCAGAAGCGAAAAAGCTGTTTAATCATGCCATCAGGACACTCAAGAATGCAACCACTCGAGATCGTAATTTGGCCTTTCAATTGCATCTGAGCGGTTTGGATGCCTCCGCATCATCAGACTACTCGCTGTGGAAAGCTACTAAGAAAATTAGAAGACCTACTAATGTCTCCCCAGTCTTGCGTGCACAGGACGGGAGATGGGCTCGTACTGATGCCGAAAAAGCAAACACTTTCTCTGTCCACCTACAATCCGTTTTCAAACCCCATCCAAATGAAGGTACACCCGAACATGAAAGAGAGGTATCTAACTACTTGGCGGAGGAAGACTCAAGCGCCGAAATAGTTGACGACATGCCCAATTTCAATAAAAATGATGTGGTACGGGCTATAAAAAAGATTGACTCAAAGAAGGCCCCCGGTTTCGACCTCATCACTAGTAGGTTGCTGGCCGAACTGCCAGACTCTGGACTGACTATGCTCACGTCCATTTATAACAGCATGACAAGACTCAGATTTTTCCCTCCACAGTGGAAAGTAGCCAAAATAATAATGATCCTTAAGCCCGACAAGGCTCTGGAAGATCCTAAATCCTACAGACCTATCAGTCTACTACCGATTCCTTCGAAAGTTTACGAGTCGCTCCTATTAACTCGCATGTTACCAATAATTAAAACAAAACATCTGGTTCCAGACCATCAGTTTGGATTTCGTCATAAGCATGCTACTATCGAACAAGTTCACAGACTTACAGTCGAAATACATAAAGCGTATGAAGCCAAAAAATACTGTACAGCCGTCTTTTTAGACATCTCGCAGGCCTTCGATCGGGTCTGGCACCAGGGTTTGCTTTACAAAATTAAAAAATCCATGCCCTATCACCTGTTTTGTATGATCAAAGCTTTCATAACTAATCGTCACTTTATGGTTCAGTGTGGAAACGAGATGACAAGCCTTTGCCCCATCATAGCGGGGGTTCCACAGGGAAGTGTAATTGGTCCGATCCTCTACCTGCTCTACACCTCGGATTTACCCACCAGTGAAAAAATTACAACAGGTACTTTTGCTGACGACACAGCCATTTTGGCCACCCATAGTCAGCTAGAAATCGCAGCCAAACTACTACAAGTAGGTTTGAATAACATAGCCGACTGGCTAAAAAGGTGGCGGATCAAAGCTAATGAAAGCAAGTCGGTCAACGTTACTTTCACCCTGCGAAGAGAGCACTGTCCACCAGTGAAGCTGAATGACGTAGAAGTCCCTCGGGCAGATTACGTGCGGTATCTTGGACTGTACCTCGATAAACGTCTTACCTGGAAGAAACACATTCTTACCAAGAGAAAACAGCTTGGTCTACAGCTGAGAAAACTTTACTGGCTCGTTGGTTGTAAATCCCAGTTATCAAGGGAAAACAAACTTCTAGTATATAAAGCCATCCTCAAACCTGTGTGGACGTACGGCATACAACTATGGGGAACAGCCTCACACTCCAACATAGAGATCTTACAACGTTTTCAAAACAAAATGCTGCGCATAGTTACTGGTGCCCCATGGTTTGTAACTAACGAACAACTGCACAACGATCTGAAGATGCCTACAATCAGGGAGGAAATAACTAGACACACACTAAGGCATACAGGGACAGAATATCAAACCACCCAAATATATTGGCCCAACCGCTTATGGTCAACAGTTTGAAAATCCGTAGGCTAAAGCTCAGAATCCCCCAGGATGTGCTGTGATAAGAGCACATTATAACTAGAACAGGGTACGACATTGGCCGCATCCTTGCACACGACTTACAATTTATGCCCAATCTATCGCTTAATGTCCTGATAAAGAGACAGATTGCTGTATTAAAGATGAAAAAAAAAAAACAAAGAAACATACGGAAACAAGGAATATGGGTGCCGCATGGGCTGAGCGTCAAGAATAAAGCGGCGCGTGTTCGAATGTGCAAAGACTTATTGGTTCAGAAAGCAAAGACGCTTTTCTTAGAATCCAAATTCACTGTAAAAGTAGATGAAAAGTGGACAATGCTTGACAGCAAAAACACCCAAGAAACAATTGTTGTCGATCGATCGATCGCAGGTACGTAGGCAAACCCCTGTCTCACTGCAAAAAATTTTGTTATTGATAGGATAAGACATACATGGGATAATTTATTTTAACCTAGTGAACCACCCCGGCTATGCAAGAGTGCAACGTAGATACTAATGTGGTTTCAATTTAGAGTAATTATTTATATTAAGATTAGACTATTATTATTCTAGATTATGCCACTGGATGTCTTTATACACAATTTTTATAGGCCTGACGGCCCGGGATTTTGAATCTCTAATATCTTCTAATATATTCATTTTAATAATATGCTGTTAAGGGCAATTTTCATCTACATTAAATGCACTGCCATAATTTTTTTGTAATATTTTAAAAGCTTTACTGTGGGTTATCCTTGGGATATAGACATATACCGTTGTTGCCTTTTTATAGAACTTTTTAAGATTTTATTTATAAGGCTTTGTATGTCGGTTATTGTCATAAAAAGTAGCTTATGTCCTTTACCGGACATCATCGCCAAACAGTACTGCAGCCAATTCAAAAAAATTAATAAAGAAAAAGAGACCTGCATTGTTATACCGCATACCTACAACATGACAATGCCCATCTTCACACTTTTTTAAGTAAAAATTTTCACCAATACTGAAGATGACAGAAATTCCTTTAGTCAAAATTAGATCAAAATGTTGCCTGATTTAAGGAGAAAGGTTTTGGCCGTTAAAGAAAAATGTTTCATATATAATAACCTATCTTCTATGTAGCCCTAATATTTTCACTATGATATGTTATTTAGTACAAGACTGATGGTTGGTAAACATTTCAAATTCAAGAAATATTGTTACAACTGCCGTGCACAACTAATCAACTAGTGGAATAAGTTATCATCTGCCGTATTTCCAGACCGATACAACCTTCAAGAAAAGAGAGTACTCCTTACTAAAAGGATAGCAACACGTTTTTGACTCCTGATTTGCATTCGTTCAGGGGGAGCTTTAGTCACTTTCCATCAGGTGACCCAACTGCTCGTCTGCCCCTCTTCCATAAAAAAAGCTTACCTTTACAAATCTTTTCAAAATGTGTAGTCAGTAGATTGCGGCAGACTTCCGATTCATAAATAGGAACTGGGTATGTTACATTTTCTGTCTTGTAACCATCACAAAGGTATCCTCTCTTCACTGATGGACTATGCAGTTTCATACTTATAAAAATTATATCTTCAGATAATGTTATATCTTTTTGTGGATTGAGACTCTGCATTAGATGACTATATTTTTTTTCCCACACCGCATTTGAGCATCTGAGTAACTCATTTAAGATGAGTATACCTCCTTGGATTCTATCCTCTTTACTCATTCCCTTTTCTTTCATTGGAATATCTTCAAATGTTAACACAGCATCTTCGTAACACTGCATATACCATTGTGGTTTAGCAGTAGATTGTTTTGCTGTTTCTCGCTGAGCTGTTACAACTAAGCCAGCTCTTAATGCTTTAGCTGCAGCTTCACGAATTTGCTGTTTTGGGTCCTTAAGAGCAACTAAAATATGATCAAAGAACCCAGATACTTGTTGGTAGAAATATGTTGGCATAGCTATAGCCATTTCTTTGAGTAACAAAACTGCTGAGTGTCTTCGCCCTTCATTACGTTCTTCAGATAGCCACTCGAATGCTCTTTTAACTTCGAATTCTACATATTCAGCTCGTTTTACTCCAGACACAGTTGCCAATCGACCAACAGTTTTGGCCGCTAGTTCCATCACACCAACATCGGATGACGGTAAAAGGTTGCGAAGGTAGTTGGCAAATCTTGTAATACGAGTCTTAGTTGTATCACAATCGCCACCGATGAGACAAACTGAATGAATAGAAAAACATTAAATTTGTAATGTATTCGAAAAAATAAAATTGATAACTACGCTAGACAACTTTATGAGGCTTACCTATGGCTAGAACTCCACCTTTCTTCTCATGAACATCGTTACTTGAGACCATTTCAAATATTTGATGATTGAACTCATCGAGGAACTGAGTAAGCTCCTCTTGTGGAACTTCTCGTAACTCCGTCTTAGCATAGCGATAAAGGTCGCGAGCGGTCTTAATTTGTACATCTACAATTCGGGACTTTAACCCTGCCACAAAGGTTCCCACTAAATTAGACATTTTTTATTTTATTTCATGGCGCAAATGTGATTAAACACGCGGAAGTTTTAACTCGTGTTATTTTGGCCTGATATAAATAAACAAAACGTGCAAAAAATACTCTACAGTCCACACTGCTCGAAAACGATCCATAAAGATTTGACTTCGACGCTTCTTTTCTTTTTAATTTGTATTTGTCATTTAGGGAGGTGTTTTAGTAAGTTACGGTTTTTAGTCTTTCTTCTTAAAGTAAAGACTCTGTGGCTTGAGTATAAATTAAGATTAATTTCTTTTACTTTACATAATAATCTTTAAATTTAAGCTAGATAACTTCTAAATTTTAAATATTAGTCTTGATGCAGAATTATGAGAACTCAGGTTTACAATTTAAGGGGTGCTCTATGGTTACATGGCCGATATTTCATTCATTTGAAGCTTCCTTTTCTCTCTGTCGTATATGGATATCTATGTTCGGGCGGTCATCGTTGAAGATTTCCGTATAAATTATTAAATGACGGTGCTATAGGCGTTGATTTTATGAAAAAACTGTAGGTTATAAATTGTTAAATAATGATCTTACTCGAGATCAATAATAGAATTATAGAAGATACACTAACAGTTAAATATAAAAATGCACTGGCGCGGTGAGTACGTTATACTTAGAAAGTGTTCTGTTTTTCCATATTTGTGTTTAATGAGCATGAACTACTCAAGAATAAGTTTACAGTGTACGAGTTTTTGTGAAAATTTCTACAAGAGGATGATTCCGTCTCCATAACCCCTCTGATAAGTACCGTGATAAGTGTCAGATTCCTGGGGTGGGCCCACGTTGGCCGCCGAATCTATGCAGATTCGTGTAAATGTATAGAAACAGTCTACATAGTGATTTATCTCCTATATGATGTGATGAAGTATGACGCGATAGTGCTATCTCAGCATGGATGAGTCATATCAGTTGTTATTGGTGCCTATTTGTGTGCGTATACGTCCCATAATGTTTTTGGATTCCAACGGTGGTAAACAATGTAAAGAATTTTGTTATGTGATACTGATATCTACTTGCTACAGTAAGAGTTGATGACAACTCATGCAGTGGCATTCACTCAGGATGTGAGTAATTTTTGTGTTGATATGTCAAGGCACATTAATTTATATATTATTTTATTTTCAGCTTAAAGCCTGAGTCAATAGATGTGAGAGTTGCAGATTTTGATGGAGTACTCTTTCATATATCAAATGTTAATGGAGACAAAACCAAAGTTAGGGTAGGTAGTATTTTTTTTGCCTTATCAATATAAAAATCTTTATCAAGAGATAAGCAGGCCATAGTTGTCACTTCATATCTTCATGTTAAACGTGCCAGATTATCTATTAGATATAGTATACAATTTTTGAATTAAGGTATGCCAGTATTATCTAGCTCTGCCTTATTTATGAACTTTTTAGGTTCCAGAGGCTAGGCTACAGTACTGTGTGATAAAACTAACTTACCTAGTGTTCCGAATAGACTAGGTACCATTGTCATTACGTATAAGTGATGATACTTATGATGATTCATACAGAAAAGGAAAGAAAGTAAACAGCATAGATAGAATTTTAGTATAAACAAAAAAATAAACAAACATTTGTTGTATGATAAAGTCTTTTGTTGATAGATTCTCATAAGAAGAAATCAAAATTATAACTGCTAAAATTTCAAATTTGACTACTTAATCTTAATCCTACACATTTAGAAAATAATGCATATTTGCCTACCTTCCAAATATCATCAATCAATCGGGTTAACTTGAATATACTTAAAAATTATTTTGGCTTATATTTAAAAAACAGTGTTAAATGAAATGTTGTGTTCATCCATTCTATGAAATCGTAAAAAAAATAACATGTAGAAATTTGAAATATGATGTATTAAGTGTATTTTATCTTGTGTTTATTACATGTTTTATTAATGTTTACAAATCAAATACAAACATAACATCTAATAGAATCACATTATATGACCTCTAAACTAATTAATGTCACAATATTTATTATTCTCCAAAACTATTATTATTAAAATTAAAGCATTAGGTTGGCTTGCTTAAATGTGTAAATAATAACATTGATATGTTAGGCCATAAAGTCTTCCTTCAGCAATATGATTTCAGGAACTGTAAATAACGTTTTTTTTATTAATTCCTATGTGACTTGATTATAGGTTAGTATATCATTGAAGTTCTATAAGCAGTTAGAAGAACATGGTGCTGATGAACTTCTCAAAAGAGTATATGGACCTCTTCTCACCACTGCAGAGTCTGGTAAGTAAAAAATTCTGTCTGATAAATGAATTTCGTTTCTGCATGTGTAATAGCAAGTACAGGCTCGATGTACTAACAAATATGATTATGCAATCATAGTGGCCACATTTTATAAGAAAAAAAAAACTACACCATTCAAATTCTTACTAGTCCTATTTGATTTGAATTCCTTGCTAACTAAGCCAGTAGTGTGGGACATAGATCCTCCTATTTTTAATTCTGAAATAATATTTGAAATACACAAAACATTATCAACAGGTGTGAAGTTTACAGAATGATCTATGAATTACACAAATATATGTAGACAGTTTTATGTTGTAGCTGATGTGTCATTTTTAAATGTAAGTTAGTAGTTATGAAGCTTAAATTGACTTAGTAACTATGACCTTATGTACAAATAATTGTCTACCCACCTATCTACTCAAGTAAATTCACTTTTTTCCTCAGCTTATCAATCATGTCTGTTACAAGTTTGCATTTATCAATTCTGTATAGCTTTTATTAAAAATGAGAAGTAGAAAAAATTAATACTAATAGCATATAGCATAATATATATTAGAACCTAATATCTAAATACCACTAATACACCTATTATACACGAGCTGTACCCTGCCAATCTTTGTTGTGTCACATTTTGGTTGCATTGATGAGAAATGAGGAACAAAACAGATAAAAACAACAACAACTTTGAAGTTGGTTGTATGTTGTTTCAAAATTTGCTCAATAGGTGCAGAACTTTTTGAGTTTTTGAAGACACACACAAACCAACTTTACATTTATAAATAGAGAGATGTCAGTTAGTATTTAAAAGTTGTATGTAAAATTTTCAATTTGCTGTATGTAACCTTTCATGCATTGCATAAAATGAAAGTGAGTGTGTAAATGCTGTTAGTATAATAATGTTAGGTTGGGCATCCATTGTAAGTGAACCATCATCATTAACAAAATGTTGCAGTATCAGGAATATATGTTATGTTTTCCTTAAAATTAGTTATTTATAAATGGTGTCCATGTAATGCAGGTAATATGTTCAATAACATCCTTGTATTTTATTACATTTAGCACTTTAAAATAATTGTGATAATAATTGTAATTATTACAACCAGGCAATATTCATTAACTTATAAAAATATTCTAGGATAAATTGTGTGTTACACAGATTCATATCTATCTAGAGCCAAATTAAGCAAGTCTTGCACTACTATTTCTTGTATCCAGGTAAAGTGATAATTTAACTTAGATAATTGTTATACAATATTCATGCATGCAAATAATTCAAACCCGCAACCTCAGATGAGGCAACGAGGTCGCGGATTCGATAACCGCTTCGTCGAACACTTTACCAGCTACATGGGTCGCCTAACCTATTAATTATTTTATACAATTGGCCTTATCACACAAAGACAATTCATGATATCAATCAATAATTAATTACTACAAGTCGATCTGTCATAGACTTACGTGGCTATCGTTATCACATTAGTTACGTTGAATTACTTTTAATACTACGACCGTTCATGACATGACATGAGCAGGATTTTAGAGATTCTTAACCTACCCTTTGTCAGCCAGCAAAAGTAAGAAGTCATAAAACCCCTCACCTGTGTTACGTAAGCATTGCTCTAATTTTAATGAATCAGCAAGAGCTGCCATTTAATTCAATTTTAGGTATCCGGTACTAGTTCTATTGCCTATTCTTTGGACAAAGTAATAGCATAGAACGAATAAAATTATATCTTTTTCCGTTTTTGAGCATAGACAATTTGCGAGGTTACGTAATACTAATTTACAAAATTTTACAAAACGTCCCATACGACAATCGAATACCAGTAGCGAATTTTATTTTACTTAATATTATTACCATGCAAACAAACTCATGAGCTACACAATAATAGCTGTAACATAAATATAGTTTGAATCCCATGTGTTTCTCATTAAATATATTTTATGAGTCATGCATAGCATACCCAACCCAGCAAATACTAATTTATTGATTATAAATTCAATGTAAAACACGCTTAAATTCAGTTACAATATTCGAAGTACTAAGTAATGCAAAAGTGATACGTATTAGTTCTTGAACATATTTGTGCCTCGGTCATTATGACGTCATCGTAGGCTATTCAATAAATGGATAGGTAGCAATTAAAAAAAAATGAATCACACATTACTAACAATCTTGATTATCTCGCCAGCTATATTTATATAGGCTTTTCAAAAATCGTACCTACCCCTACTGCAATGGCCGGCAACGCATTATGATTACTGACAAGAGCCCATGTACTGCGTTATTTACTTACCGTTAGGTGAACCAACTACTCGTTGTTCATTATATTTGTGTTAAGAATAGGCTTACTGTAGGCTAGGTATAGAACCCACACATAAAAACTTAACAAGTTCGATGCTTGGAAGGCCAATACTCGTATAATAATAATAAAATAATAGTTCGGTCAAAATTCAGTTTTGATCAACTCTATCTCGCAACTGTCATAAAAGGCATTTACGTAGTAAATAGTAAAGTAGGTATTACTAACACCAGCAGCAACACCAAATTCGTATTTTAACCGAAAGTTGAATCGGTAATCTATTTGGTTGATATTATTCAACTATATCGTTATAATCACATTATAATCAACTTTGTATTTTGTAAATTTGTACTTTGCTACAAAAAATACCTTTTATGACAGTTGTGATATCGAGGGTTGATCGGAACTGAATTGAGACCGAACTTTTATTATAAGAATTGGCCTTCTGATGTTTAAATGTTGTTTTGTTCAAATGCATTTAATGCATGATATATGTATATAAAATTTATTTTAATATCACCGCCAAAAATATGTGATAACGTTAACGTGTTGGAAAGTTTAAAATACCAATGATAAGTTATCAGAGTCATGCTATTATCATATTTTGTTATATTTTATATTAATGTTTAAGTTATATACCCTCTAAGCGAACTTCAGAATTTACACCGATGTTGTCTCTCAATAATTTGTAAAGATTTCTTTTAGAAAATTAGAAAATATAATATAAGCACCATGGTGTTTAAAAAGCTGCTTTTAAACGGCAATAAGCTCGTGCCCCATTACGTAAGATGTAAAATAAACGTTACATAAAATACATGTTTTAGAAATCTACAACTTCGAGTTAGTTAGTCATGAACTTTGAGTTTGTATTGATTACTAATATAGTACCACACCTTTTATCAGAATTATTAACGAGCAAGTCTCATAGTCGTAAAATACCGCTTGCTACTAGTTATGAATGACAAATCACTAGCCATTGGCTTACCGAGGGGAGACGGTGGAGGGCACCGTGATAACAGCAACGTATTGAACGGCCATGAAATAGATCTGCCGCCGAGATGCTTGCAACCTAGTTAGACACGTACGGTTTTCTTCCAACAAATCAGTTATTATATCATTTGGATTAAAACAGAATGTACATATTAGATTGTATAAGTGAATTATAGCACTTCCTAATTGTATTTCAATATTCTCATTCACTCCTCTCTCAATGCCCGCGCACCCTGAAATTATAGTCACGCTATCACTAGACATGCGATCGTTATGGTAATGAAAAATGTTGATTAGTAAGCTTTCTAATAGAAGGGCTAATTCTCGATGTCATACTTCAACAGGCTACAACATCTCGTTGTTGCTCGATCTGGAGAACATTCCAGACGACTGGGAGGATGTGGTGAAGAAAGTGGGTTTACTGAAGAGGAATTGTTTCGCGTCAGTGTTCGAGCGGTACTTCCGACTGCAAGAAGATGGAGACGTCAGCCATAAGCGTGCCGTCATCAACTATAGACAAGATGAGACGCTGTTAGTATAAACCTTTTTTTAAAGTGTTCTTGCCTTATTATATATTATTTGTCCGTATGGAAAATGAAAAATAAATTTAAATAAGTTTATAGTACGTCAACAAATTATAACGTTTTCCAACAGGATACTATACAGCACCTATTACGGGTCGCGACATAATTATACTTGCCGAAAAAGTAAACTAATATGAATATTAGCGGTATTCATGTATATTTAAATAAATGTCTACTTTAGATATTGTGTATTACATTGTAAAAAAAGCAAAGAGCGTTACAACGTTACAAAAGGAAACTGGGTTAAGAGTACTTCAAAAGATTTTCAACGCCTGAAGTATGGCGTGGTCTTGTTTTCTTCTCTTTAAGACTACAAGTGTTGTTATTTCAATTTAGACTTTATTATTACAATGTTAATGTCCCTATTATTATTTATATTTTTATATGTATATCCCTCATCATTAACATGAAGGTATAGATGGAGCATATGATAAAATATTGAATACCACTGCCCTTCATATTATTGAATATGTGGTAAAGGTTTATTGTTTACGTCAATCCCGGTTTAATAGCCTGTTTTTATTACTTCAATACTCAAGAAATAAACACGTAGGCATGAGTAGTTTTATAAATTATTTTAAATTTACAGATACGTGGAAGCGCAAGAAGACCGTGTAACGGTGGTCTTTTCAACAGTGTTCCGACACGAAGATGATATGGTTATCGGCAAAGTGTTCATGCAGGAGTTAAAAGAGGGCCGGAGAGCGTCACACACTGCGCCGCAGGTAAGCATTAGCGCGCTGTTTCTTGTTCTAGTATCTGCATGTCATAATTTTGATGTTTATATCTAAGTCAAAACTAGAATATTTAATTGAATAGTGGAAATAAGACATAAATTTGTCTGCTGTCCAGTGCCGCTACTACTAAATTGAGGTTACTTGACGGCCTGATTGGTAAACGCAGTTAGATATTACGTAATTATCAGGTAGATTTACTTGTTACCGACGCGTTGTTTTGTGTATTTTATAATAAAGAAACTAGATAAATGATATCCCGCCATAATATCAAAGTTTTGCCTGCTTAAACCTAACTCGGGAACTCTTTGAAATATTAAGCAAGATAGAACATCGAAAAACTATTTTCTCCGGTTAACTAAGTTTCTTTTGTTTTGTAGCTACGGACATGTTATCAATAGAAAATTGCATTTGGATATATTTTTTTCGTTTAGGTAAGATAATGTTTGTTTCAATTTTTTTTAGGTTTTGTTTTCACACAAGGAACCACCACTAGAGCTAATGGACACCGATGCGAGAGTAGGCGATAATATCAGTTATGTTACATTTGGTAAGAACACACTATCCGAAGTTATTTTCTTTGTGGCTTTTGTATTTTAGTTATTTTAATTAATTAATTTGTATAAGTCTGCCAAATGACTATACAATTGTTTTAAATTTGCATCTAATTATATCATTCATTAATCATGTATAATTGTTTTAACATTTTTAAAAGGAGTAATGATTTTAGTTTGTATTCATGGCTTTCTGCATAACTTCTAGGTTCTTTCATAGTATTTTAACAAATGAGGTATATTTAGAAGCGTCTTGATTGTCAGTGGGATTAGGTTGTCTTGCCTATTAGATGAAAGTATTGAAAATTTTGTAGACAAGAATGTCAAGCTAAGAATGTATTGTCGTTTTATAATTTTCAGGACACGATTTTTACATAGTCGTTTAGTTAAGTCTTTTATCGTGTAGTATAGATAAAAACTAATTTAAATATTAATGTCTGTTTTTGTCGTAAACATGTAGGTATACGAAGTTACGTCTGATAAATAGATAAATAAATGAAAGAATTTAACTAGTATTCAGTTTTATCCACGGATCGTGCGTACGTCTAATCCTGGTAGAATATATGGACGTGCGTCGTGACGTTGCAGTGTTATTCCCCCGGCACACGTGCTCCATGGCGCGCGACAACACGATCGACCTGCTGCACATGTTCCGCGACTACCTGCACTACCACATCAAGTGCTCCAAGGTGTACGTGCACTCGCGCATGCGCGCCAAGGCCGGCGACCTGCTCAAGGTGCTCAACCGCGCGCGGCCCCAGACCGCGGCGCGCCCCACCGAGCGGAAGACCATCACGTGAGTGTCGCCGCTTTGCTTCACTTTTCTTATACCGATCGTTGCTCAACTCCACTATTTTAATTTAAAAGCTGAGTAAAGACAGAGTGTAGAATATATAATAATAACTAGACACACCTCACAGGTCGTTTGATCCCAAACCAAGCAGAACCTACATGTACTATGGTAACCAGACTGCTGCTGAACAGATATGTATTTCTAAATCACACATATTATAGATAAATTACCTAAAGACAGAAAAGAATAATCATGTTCATCACAATATTGTTTGCGCTAAGTGGGAATACCCACGAACGCTGGCTCAGCAGTCAGGGTCACCGACCACTAGACTAACAGGCCAGTTCTAATAAAGCATAGAATTCCCATAGCTACCTACTGCGCTGAGGGTTCGATCCCCACATGGGACAACACTGTGTGATCAGACAGAACATCTGTTATTTTGCTATTTAGCGCAAAAGTATATATATTATAGTTGTCATTATTAAGTTAAAATAATAAAATATATGATTTTGCTACAGGGGAAAAACGTTTGTGAGGCGAGATTGAGTGTTGCGATCCGGCGAAACGTAGGCGCCGAGCTTCACTGTTACGAGCTAGCTGTAATGCCGCCACTCCGGTAACATCAACTCCCTCAGCCACCGACTAACCCTCCATCCAGACTAATATATATATAAAGGAGAGCAATAAATTTAGTCACTTAAACTACCCACAGATCGATCACCAGCATTGTTTCAAATCACGTTCTGAATTCACATTAGTTCTTTGGTAGCGGCGATGTATTTAACCGCCAACTCATAAAGATTGAAACTAAACCTTACACGTTACAAAGTTGGCAGAAGTCTGCCCTGCTACTGATTCGCCAGGATGTGCATTAAATTTGTAAGTCAGAAAGAGACGAGTTCAAGTCGCTAATGTGAATACAGTCATAATGGATCACACGATACTCAGTGATATTATTTGAGTGGATGCGTTATCCACTACAACAATGTCCGTGTTTCATATACGAGTTTGCATAAAGTGTCACATTAATTTATTTAAGTACCACACCGTGTTTGTGTTCCATTCATACGTCACAAAGTACTTATCCTATAATTCATGTTCAATGCTATTTCTAAACCAAAATTGCCAAACAGTCAGTAATGCTCAATATTTCGTGTATCGGATATTTTGTACTAATAAAAAGAAATGTGCACATTGTATTTATCATAAATATTTATTGTCAACTTTCCAGGCATAGTGTTAAAAGTCAATAAATAATGTTGCCGTAGTACTTGTTGATAACAAAAAATGCTTTATTATTACGAGAGTTCTATTTATAGCGGTGGCGCTGAGACATTAAAAAACTTGGGTTCCTAAAGTGTTAATAAACACCGTCATACAATGTTACATTTTAGCTAAACGTAGTGTCCAGCGAGTGCGAACTTTTCTTGTAGCTTACGTAATTTTGTTAAGTTATGCAATTACCAATCCTCATGTAGGGTAAAGTGTATTATAAAATTTAGCCTATACTTACTGTTTCGGATACAGACTTGTAAAAATGTATATCACTGAAATGTTGAGACAGGTATCATGCACAAAACTTGTACGAGTTATACTCAATTATTAATTTTACGCCGCCCCCTGTATTTAGTTATAACGCTATGCAATATATACGAACAATAATTTTAATAGGAGTTTCACCCTTACGTTTTAGGTAGACCGATTCAATTATAATGTAAGTGAAAGTGTATAGTATTTCTCAATATATTCTTCCATAGTCATGAAGAGCTCGATGAGTAAATAATGGCCTTATTTATGATGATTAAGTTCAGTTTGCTCTGTTTATGGAGCCCTCGGATCTTCGGTTCGATAGAGTCGCTAGTTTAGATCACGGTACACAATGTATCTAATGTTTAAGTGCAATTCAATTGATTATTCTCCACATTCTTTGATTCCAAAACACATTTTAGTTATAGACAGAGAAGAATAACTCTATAAAATACATTATAGCAAAAATTTATTTCACGTTTTAAAGTATTTTTAATGTAGTAGTTTCGTCCTTTAGGTAAACACTTGTCATTCGACGCGAGTTCGTCTTGGGGAATCGATTTGCACCGACAAACAATGAATTGCTCAAAGGGTCGTGAACAGCAAGGAGCTATAAGTATCTAACAATAAGAGTGACCCGGTATATGTTTGCGTTAAATCAGCGCGTGCGGGGTAGGTGCATGGCGTAGTGTATATAACATTCGGTAATACCTTTGGGTGAGATTGTGCTAAAGTTATGAGCCATGGACTGAAAGCTTAGGCTATCTAAGGTGTGTCGAGTCAGTGGAGTTTCCAAAATATTTTATTATAATTCACTAAGTCAAATATATAAAAAAGTTAGTGACATTAAGCCTGACACTAAACATGACAGGCCCTCAAAGCCACATATGGGATACTTGGATAAGATGGAACGTAATACAAGTATGTAGAACGATTTAACTATTTAATGAAAAAAAAACTTAGCTAACTTGAATTTATGTAATTTTTATTTGCAAGATGTATTATTTATGTATTATAAAGTGTAAGTTAAACGTTGCTTTAAAGTTATTTGCTTACATTGGACAAATGTTTTTACTGTCAGTTTTATTGCGAGATTATGTAACCAGCGCCGAATACCGAAGTTATTTGTGAATATGTAATTATTCTTGTGATTTAAAATCCGTTTATACTGTATTTTTTATTTTCTAGATTAAAGAAAACTTACTGCATTTTAAAGTATATTTTATTTGTACAACATCCAAACATCAATATTGTATGTCACTAAGACATAAAAAAATAAAAACACTTAATACATGTAACAAAGTAAATGTAATCATCAAACAACAAATATATAATCTTCTCTATATACACGGTGTAAGGGGCGTTTTTATTTAATTTTTATGTTAGAAGGGGCAGACGAGTAGACGGGTCACCTGATGGAAAGTGACTATCGCCGCCCATGAACATCTGCAACTCAGGAGTCACAAACGCGTTGCCGGCCTTTTAGGAAGGAGTACGCTCTTTTCTTGAAGGTTTGAAGGTAGTATCGGTCCGGAAATACTGCAGACGATAACCCATTCCACAGATTGCGGGGCAAAAAGTGTCTCGAAAAGCGCACAGTAGTGGAGCGCCAACTATCCAGGTAATGAGGATGAAAATTTTGCGTGTGGAACGACGGCGGAAATTTGCGGCTGGTATTAATCCGCACAATTCTATCGTACACATATCTACGTAACGCCAAGGGATCGAGCCGATTGGAGATGTTTGGGCTATCGACGATTCGAGTCGCTCTTCGTTGGATGCGGTCCAGAGGGAGAAGCTGGTACTGAGATGCCCCTGCATAGAGATGAGAACAGTATTCCATATGCGGCCGGACTTGCGCATTATAGAGCTGAAGTCGGTGTGCCGGAGTGAAATACTGCCTCGATCTGTTCAGGACACCGAGCTTCTTCGAGGCCAATTTAACCTTACCCCCTAAGTGACCCTGAAACGACTTCGCTCGATATGTCGATGCCTAGGATTCCGATGATGGCTGTGGCAGTTAGGGAGTTGATCTCAAACTGGATGATACGACAAATGGTATCTTTTTTGGGTTAAACTGGACTAGATACAGTAGGCCCCAATCAGAAAGCTCCGCTCCGCTCCGTTTACCCGAGAAATATTGGGGCGGCCGGTATAAAGGGCACCTCCTGTGCTATCATCTGCATAGCAATGGATGCTACTAGTTTGCAACATGTCATTGATATCACCGATATGACCCGATCAAAGGCCTTCGCTATGTCCAAACTAACCGCACAAGCCTCTCCTTTGGTCTCGATCGCCTGTGCCCACCGGTGTGTTAGAAAGACGAGAAGATCACCAGCTGAGCGACCCCGGCGAAAACCATATTGTCGGTCATTGAGTAGCTGGTGATCATCCAAGTACCGGAGGAGCTGGCTGTTGATTATGGATTCCATAATCTTAGAAAACAAAGGAGTTATGGCTATAGGCCTTTAGTTGGACGGGCCAGAGCGGTCACCTTTTTTAGGGATCGGGTGCACAAACGCTACCTTCCAGGAGTTCGGGAGGACGCCTTGGGAATAGGAGGGACGAAAAAGGCGCGTTAAAACCGGTGCCAACTCCGGAGCACACGTCTTCAACACTTTTTCAACTTCAACGATTTTTGTGTGAACCGGATATCCGGCATATAGCTCTGGCACCGTGGTATGGTCGGCGGTACGTTTCCCCCGTCATCCAGTCGAGTTGGATGCAACGAATTTGCCTAGGAGATCAGCTTTCTCCTTGGCATCATAGGCCAACGAATTGTCTTCCATCTGCAAGGGTGGAAAGGATTGGCGTCGTAACCAATACTGAAATAGTGTATGCAGACAATCATTCTCAGTCGAAAATCATTGAAAAATTAAACGTTTTCTGCAATCAGCTGTCAAAGGTTAAGGTCATTTACCGTAGATATCGCACAAAAGTAATAACTATATTTGTATGCCCTGCGCTTCGGTCGTTTAATTGATTACATTGCAGTTTTTGACCTATCGGTTTCCCGGTTTCGGTTACCTACGGGTTTTATTGAATTATTTTAGGTAAAATGTTCTGTTTACTCATTGTGATATCATTTTTAACCAAAAACATAGAAAAAAAAAGATGAATTTTCCCGCAAAAAAAATCCAATGATATTCGGCTCAGAATGATGGTCTGAATACACTATTTCAGTACTCGTTACGTCGTTCCATAGGTACACCATGTATATAAAAAAGTTAAGTTAGTTTGTGTACATTTCAAAAAGTTCAGCACCGATTGCGCTCAAATTTTGACTCAATATACAAACCACTTTAAAAATGGTTTTTATCTATTTTCCTTATGTCTCATAAAGGCAAACACAGTAATGGTTAATAGTCAAAATAATAACCACAATAATGGGTAATAGTCAAAATAATAAAGTCAAAAGATAGTGTACATAATTTTGTGTTATGCTAATAGATTTGAGTCTTCTGGAACATGAGTAAAATAAATTATAAGTTTAAACATTTTAGATGACAATTGTACCACTGCAGTTTTCACAATATTATCATTGTAAATATATAATGACGGTTGGTTGCTTACGGGAACAGTAGCAACCAAAACAAACATTTTGTGCATAGCTACTGACCTTATTTATCATGAATAGATAAATAATGTAAGAAATCAGTGCTCTTCACTAAAATTCCATTTTATTCAATGATGATGGTGTAGGTGATGTTGGCGATTTTGGCTGGCCTAATTTGGATACTGTGGCCACTTTTGATGCAAACTTGACGAAGCTGAGTCCTGATGCTTGGGGCTCCGGTTTTTGACCACTTTCAGGCTGGAACGACGCATCTAGTGAACCTGAAAAAAAATTAAGGCTGCTAGAATTATTCCTTGAGAGGTATTCAGGAAAAGTTAGTCTCGATTTGTATTTATATCTTGCTCACTATTCTGCACAAACCTTCATTAATTGGTAGTTATGTTACCATAAAAATATATATCCGCGAATACGGATAAGGGGCACGGCCTTCCAAGTTTTTTTAAGTTAGGGTTTAATTTTAGGTACATCCATAACTTTGAAACTACAGGCGACTCGTGGCTAAGTGGCAACCGTATAGGTTAGCGCATTGCAAAGTTAAGCGATCCTAGGCAGGTCAGTCTATGGGTGATTGTTTTTAACAGATTGATTGTAAGCAAATGTAATATAAGGTAAAATATCCGTTAAGGTTCGCTAAAAAAAAACAGTTACGAACACATCTTTTTTTACTCTTCTATAATCTTTTATATAAGTATATCTTCTAATACTCTAGAGATAATTGCATTGTATTTTTACTTTTAAATTTGTAATCTCATTATGAATGGACTGTAAGTTTGTATGAGAAATAAACTTCAAACCGAATCCGGCACGTCCCTTCTTATTAGTAACGTATTATCTTCTACTTTTCTCAGTGTATGGAATCTCGTGAGTAATAAGAATATTGTGATTGTTTATATGCGATGCTACCCGCCAGGCAGGTAGAGTTAGTAAGGATATATAATAAAAAAAGGGCTACATAACACGAACGTTCCAAATACGTTCTTTGGATTTATAGATAAAGCATACAATGGTATTGAAACTACGGGCGGCTTGTGTTCCAATGACGAAAAACAGGCCTTTTGGTCTAGTAGTTAGTGATCCTGACTGTTGAGCCAGAGGTACGCGGGTTGGAATCCCATCCAGGACAAATAATTGTGTGATGAACATGATCATTAGTTCTGTGTCTGGGTGTTATTTATCTATCATATGTATGTATTTAGAAATATATGAAAGTATGGATATCAGCAGTCTGGTTACCACAGGCTCTGCCTAGTTTAGGTAGGATCAGATGGCTGTGTGTGACTTGTGTGACGTTAATGATTAAATTCTGCACTATTAGATAACTATTATTAGACCACAGTTAATTAAGATACGATGGTCTGAAAGGTCCGCTTGATGAAGTGCTTCGTATTTTCAATGTTTAGAAAACAAGATCGGCAAAAAATTAATGCCGTAGAGATATGGTGCTGGAGAAGACTGTTAAAGATACCCTGGACAGCATTCCGCTAGTAACTAGATCGTCAAATAGCTTCACATACGAAATAGGTTATCGTCGATTGTGCAGTTGCAATTACTGAAGTTCTTTGGGCACATCTCTAGAAAAGAGGACTCGATGGAGAAACTTGTAGTGCCCGACCCCGTGGCCGTGTGGAGGGCACACGACCACGGGGTCGGTCTTCAACCCGCTGGATCGACCTAATTAAAGCTACGACCGAATCGACTGCAGTACAATGTGCTCGCAATGCGAAAAACCGACTATTAATGTACTATGTGTAATTAATGTTAATGATGATAAGTTGATTAAGTGCAAACGAACGAAGTGTTTTATAGTAGCTTTAATCAATGCGAACAGTGCTGAACAACTACTGTACTTCAATCTAGATATTGCTGTGCATATTATACTCAGACTGAAAATGCTCATTAAGTGAAAAAGTAGCTCACAGCGCGTTGTAAGTAGTCACAGTTAAATATCCTCATCGTGAAATTCGTGGTCTTACGAAAACGTTTATGACGCGTTGTGACAATCATAGAAGGGCCACTTGAAATTCGTGTCGTGGCTTTCATATTTTACGACCACATCCCAGCAATAAGCTAAATTCATTATGCATTCAGATCACTTTTTGGTGTAACCATATCAGGACTAATAGGTTATATACAATAAAACCTAGCTCCTATAGCTACAAAGTCTAAATCTGCTAAGAATACATGACTCAGTCTCCGATTACACTCAGTACAAGTTCATTTAGCACCATCGACAAGAAAACCACTATATCAAAGCTAGCATTGTAAGTCGAGGATTTGGAGTACAACGATTTTTATAGGAAGTGTAAAGCAAGCAAGCAACAAAGTCATGCATGTCTACAATATTTCGACGAGGGTCGTAAGTACTGACAACGATTTAATTACCAAAAGGGAGAAGTAGTAAAAAAAATTGCTTACTTTGTTGTGGAGACACGATAGAACTGGGTTGTGATCCTGGTTGGTTCTCTTCCTCCATTTCGTGAGATTTCTTTTCATGAAGTAGGTCCAATGCTGCAGTAAGAGTAATTATTACATATAATAAGCAAAATAATTTATTATCTTATCTGGGATTACAAGGCAAACACGTACATGATGTTTGTCGACATCTGAGTAGGTAACGACAATATACTTATACGTACTTACTAAAATAAACAAATTCTATTTTATTATAACACACCAACAAATTGTGAACACCGGTAAGATTAAAAACTTATACTAAATTAGTCTAGTGTCACCATTACTTAGACGTAAGTACCACATAAGTTAGTTGATGTTGTGTACACATATCTACAACTATTAATAAAAACTGTTTTTCATGTATAGAAACATATAAAAATTGTGTTAGGGGCTGACAATTATTTTATCGGGTGGGTTTAAAAGGCAGGATTATCGGCTGGGATGTTGCAGTAGTGCTGACGAAATGATTAAAGTTTTTTACAGCGTTATTGAATTGACCTTCACAACTTTTGAAACACTCCAATATGATTCAATAAAAAACTTGTAAAGTTATTCAAAGAAAAGAACAATCTTCGTGTAAGATATAAATAACACAAGAACCCTCTAGCCTACTTTCACTCAGATTAATCTCTAAGCGAAGTAATAATTATGCTAAATACTTAGTGCTTACACAGTACTTACATTGAGAGTACAAAAATCCAAAGCCATATGTCCTACATTTTTTTGGTCATATATCAAGAATAAAAGAGGCGGAGAAAGTTCATACCAGACTTCAATGACTAAGGGTCCGATAACATCTTCGAATGGAGAAGAAATATGTAAGATATTTGCTTCCAATAGCAGCATTTATAAAGATGAAACAACATCACCGCCAGGTCAAAACTATGTGGCCTCCGGTAATCTTCTAAAGTGAAAAGGGAGTTTTATGCGGTCATCAATGGGTTCCATCCAAACAAGTATGCAATTGCTTCAGGCGTTTAATTTGACATATACATATATAAACGACATCATGCTTTCTTAATACCAGCATATTTCTTTTTGCGGACGTTTTAAAAATCTCAAAGCTATTATATTTCAACAGGATGTAAATCTAATGCTGAAAGATATAAATCGATTATCTGTATGGCGTTATCATAATAAAATCTCGTTGAATAATTCGAAATTTCATTACATAAAATTTACTAGGCAAGTAAAAACAATCAATTCGTCGCACTAAATAAACGGAGTTACCTTAAACTTGGTAGATGTTGTACGGGATCTAGGAGTTATTTTGGACGCTAAACTCACATTTGTACGGCATATTGAGAGCATAGTCAGTCGATCCCAGCGTATGCTTGGATTTGTCATTCACAATGGAAAGGTATTTCAAAGCCCACATACTAAGCTAGTTCTTTATAATGGTCTTATAAGAAGCATCCTGGAATACTGCAGTATAGTATGGAGACCTCACTACGCAGCCCACTCGCTGCGAATAGAACGAGCCCGAAAAAGGTTTGTCCAACACCTAGGGTACTCCAAGGGTAGACAATTTAAATATCTCTCCTACCTCGATAAACTGGGCTACTACAAAATGAGTACCCTGGAAGCCCGAAGGGAGCTTTTGGGCTTGAGATTCGGTTATAAACTGTTTAACAACATTATTGACTGCCCACAATTATTAAAGAAATTCAACCTCAGAGTATACACAACCTCATAGACAACCTCGTAAACCTATAACACCCCTCGCTCCACCTAATCGCCATACAGTGTTTGGTGGTAATTCACCTATGTCCACTCTGATTCAATATCGACAATTTAGTCATCAGCATTTAATAAATTTTCTAAAATATAAGTTAAGAAATAAGTTTTAAAATTATTTAACATAATATGTAGATACAAAGAACACGTTGCATGTGGTGTTTGCCTATAATTGGTTGTGCAGTTAGATTTAAGACACAAATACTTGAATGTTCAATACCAGTATTATATCTGTAACAACTGTTATTGAACCTTAAATAAATAAATAAAAATTAAATGAATGAAAATTAATGACCATGTCAACATTTAACGCGTCCCTATTTCCCTATCATTAAATAATCATTTTGATTATTAAAACGAAGATATTTTAAATAAAATTCCTAAGTAGTTATACATGAACAAGTATAACTACTTAGGAATTTTACTTAAAAAGGTAGTTATACATGTTCGATTGAAGGTAATTGATTAAAGGGAAGGTAAAGTACTTATTTAAGTTTAATAAGGTAAAGTAAGGTTAAATTATTTAAAGTAAGGTGTTTTTTAATTGTAGTATCCCTAGGATTTGCACATCGGTATAAATGTTTTTTTTTAAACCCAGACTTAGAAGCGATTTCAATAATGGCACTACAAATGGGATATCTGAAGGTACACGAAATATATAAGGTATACCTACAAAATAAATATGTTAAACGCAAATAATATGGAGGTTCACCTAATTTCTCTAATCAATTTAGACAAGTCCAAACAAAATTATACGTATTAATTTCCGCCATTAAAAAATGTAATTTTGAGTTATTTTTATTAAAAATTATATATATAAATATTATATTATATATTTCTCGCTAAACAACGGACGAGCGAGATACAACTTGTTTTTACTTTACTTAATAGTAATATATCATAAATACCAAACAACAAATATTACCGTCTTTTAAAGACATAGCATCCATTTTAGCATCTTGTATAGTTTCCAACTCTGCACGGAATTTATTGGTAATCTTTCGTCTTTGATAGTCTGCTTCTATCTGCTGCTTCGTGCGAGGGATGCGAAAGCGAAAACAACAGCACACCATGACTACTGCGAAGATAAAATGCAGTTTAAAAATGTACTGATAATAGTATAGTAACTGAAGTGTATAATATTTGCTTGTAAAAATATCTGAAAAGATTTACTTGCAGAAATAAATATCATTTCATTTCATTTATTAAAGTATAGTTACTGATATCATCGAATTCTTTAGTAAGTATTGAAACATTCCACATCGCTTTGCAACTTTTAATCTGGTTAGGAATGTTCTTGATAATAGACACTTACTTATAGTGGTGATACTGGCGAAGCATAGAAACATAATTTGCCAAACTCTCAGGTTTCCTATCACTTTACTTTCAAGCCACTGCGGTTCCTCAGAATTTTTTGTAACATCCATGAAAAGATCCATCAGTCAAAGTTTATTTGAACGTTTAAATTTCGTAAGATACCAAAACAAATGTAGCACGTGTGCCAATGTTCCGTTTCAACCAGAAACTACCTAATTGTTTCTATTCAGAGGAGTGGTTGCTGCCACACCTACAATTATCACCCCTCGGCACTCCCTTTCAATTCTAAGTGCCACCTCAGCTAATCATCTTTCTTTTGATGGTGTGAAATAAGTGCTAATGTTGTCAGAAACCGTTTCTTTTAGTTTGTCGTATTGAAGTACGTAAACTATGTGATTTAATCATGCCAATTAATTTAAATAACCCGCTCAGTTCTTTGGAGGGAAGGGGTTACAGAAGCAATGTTGCTATAAGTTACATACAAACGTTCAGTATCAATCACTTGTAATCACATCACTGTATAACACAGTACCTATTTTGCGGTAACACAAGTAATACTACAGGTTCAGTATACAATTAATTCTTAACAATTGCAGAATGCAATTTTCATGTGACTTTTGTAAAATGTTATGAATTAAAAACATTCATTAATGATTTGTATACATAATAATGGTATTAATTATGCGTAATCAGTTTCTAATTGAATATGGTCTATCTAAAATTATACACATCACCCGATAAAATATTTTTTACAACAGAATTCAGGCAATAATCTTGCTATTTTTATGAATGAAAACCATTGTGGTTCAGTGAAATTTTTGGGACTGACAACATTTCGATCGTTTTTCTCTTTCATTTGATGGCTGTTTCACTTTCCCGCAGAAAATAGGGTGTCGAATCTGTCCTATAACCTCCGATATATTTATTACTATTATAAGATCGAAGATGAATCTTTTATGATAATAGTGGATTAATTCATGTAAAGGTTGTTCTAAGTGATGTTGTGTGAGATCGTTTGTGTTCTTACGATCACTCTGTAGCGTTTTAAAAAATTAAACATGGCCTCGAACCGAGGAATTCAGATCGGATCCGCGTGGTTTCAACGGAAGCTAAACTTAAGGCCACAGCACCGGGGTGTGCACCTAGTCACTGAGGAGATCCTCAAGCAGGTGCCAGAGCTCTCACAGTTTGCAGTCGGCCTCTGCCATATCCAAAGTAAGTACCCGTCAGCCCAGCGTTCTTGACTTGCCGCCGATACTGCACTCCTGCTGATTGTCATAAATAGCATGTCATAGTTCAGTTATAATGTGACATTCTTAAAATTTGGAAAAAATAAAGTCGTATTAGCTAGTGTTATGGGTGGTTAGGCTAGGCGATGTATTTTAATATCGCCAGCTGATCATTGGATGTTGTTTCTAGTAATGCACACATCGGCAAGTCTCGCACTCAACGAGAGCTGGGACCCTGATGTACGGGATGATATGGAGATGATGCTCAACAAAATAGTGCCAGAGGGTCTTCCTTACCGCCACTCGTGTGAAGGACCCGACGACATGGTTAGTATTTGTAATGGCAGTCAGTAATTAGATAATTTCGCTAGAAATGACAGTTACAGCAGGTATTTTAAAAAAGGAACTATTTTATGGTTTATATTCTTTTGTGTAATGTTAGGTTATGTGCTAAGAAACAGTTACAGATTATAGTTTTTGGTATGAATAAAAAATAATTGACTAAATTGTCAGTTTGTTTATTATTTTTTATGTATTAAGTAATTAATAAAAAACTTTTTATAAAGTTATGCATATATTTTTAAACATATCAAATACTGTAAGTTATAAAAAGCTTATGCATTATTATAATGTATGCTAAGAATGTTCCAATTAGATTTGTAGTAAAGTTTAATAATCACATGTCAGCTAATGTGCATCTCAGTAACTGTCATATAGGTGACATTCAACAGATAACTAGTTCAATGTTTGCATTTTAATAAGATGGAATACTCACTTTTCATGATAGTCATACTTTTATTCTTTCTATGAAAGCTAATTAAAAATGACTTGGAAATGGATAGTGTATTTCTGTGTCTGCCGACAAACTGGTTTTACACTGCCAACAAACTGTTTTTACAGTTTTGCAGACTTTAAGTGTATGAAAATATATGTATTTCAGATGTTTAATAAATAAAAAAATAAAAAAAAACAGGTGTCGCATTATCGAATGTAGATGTACATAAAATATTTCAGTCCCTATAGGGAATAAAGAATTAGATTGTAAATGTTCTTTCTATTTAATTATAAATTATAGAGAAAGTCCCTAACAGACCTGGCTTGACTAAGTATGTGTTATTATTGTTGTACAGCCAGCCCATGTGAAGGCTTGCTTTCTGGGCTCATCACTTACCATCCCCATCACAGACGGAAAGTTAAACCTTGGCACATGGCAGGGTGTATGGCTCTGTGAACATAGGAATCATGCTGGCAGCCGGAAGGTGACTTTTTTTTTTATTTACTTTGAGTTTTCTATATTTAAACTATATGTATAAATTATTATACCACTAGTAATAAAGGACTAGTTACTCAGGCCTTTAGTTAAGCTAAGGCACAATATTGCTACAAGCAGTATTCTGTTGTAGAGATATAGCAAATACTTCATGTATTAAAAGAGCTTAATAAGGTAATGTGAATAGATATACTTTACTGAATAAAAACATTTAGTACTGGTTTGTAGGTTGTTCTGGAGAACCAAGTATTTCAATAACCAGGCAGTTTGCAAGATTCAAATGGCAAATATTTAATGCATCTATGTGTACATAAATTTAGGTGTTACAATTAAAATAGGTACTTCTTACTTAGTGCCTTTTCTAAGCATTGCAATGCTGAGGGCTTAACAATATTAAATATATTAGTATATTTAAAAATTCATATTCATAAATTTATAATCTATTTGTAATTTATAAACATATATACTAGTGACAGATTTATGTATTGAAATTGTTTATTGTAACATACAAATTTATCACAGGAACTAAACAAACTTCCGTAAACTATTGGAACTAACAGATTGGCAAACAAACACCAACTGCCTATTGTAAGAAGTTCTTAATGCTTACATATAAATACATGCAACAATGTTCACCGATGATAGCTAACTAGTCTTCCCTAGTCATTGATGTTCAACTAAACTATTTTTTTATTTTTTTCTATTAATATGTCTAACAAGTATTGTATGTATGATGCAGGTGGTAGTGACGCTGTCAGGATGTCCCCGGGACTCTCCACTATCACCCGTTTCGGCCGCCTCGTGTTCCAGTTAGGAAAGGGGGGGGGGCGCGACCCCCCATACGCATTCGCACTCGCGCCCCTCCTCCAAAAGCACGCGGAGGTAAACCCCGCGCAAACACCTTTTATATCCCGCACCTAACATAGACGTTAGTTCTTACTCTTATCTTTGAGCGACAATATGTACATAAGAAAGATTAATATTTTGTAACGCCTTGTGTGTCACCTCGCACGGGTCATGCGACAATGTCGTGTAAAGGTCCGAGCACACATGTAATATAGCATTTATAGGAATTGATGGCGCTCCGATCTTCCCGTCGCTAGGTGGCCCACAATCACTAAAAACCCTATTGATGTTACGTTCAGTCATATTGAACACTGAACCCGTTGAACTTGTACATAAGTTTTATGTGCGAAGGTTTTTAACTATACATAAATTAATTGTTGTTTTGTTATTGCAACTTGTCGATATAATGTACATAGATGAGGCGTGGACTTGACAATCCGCTTGTAGATTCGGTTCGTCAATACAAGGGTTCATGTGGCACATACTTTTACCATTATTAATCATATTACTTTAGGACAAAGTATTAGATAAGGAATAATGATTTGAATCGATCGAATATTTTTCACCACTGCACTCGTTCAATTTTTTCCAATTACACCGGGAGACACTATATTTTTCAACATGGCAGCACTTTAGATATTTTAATGGATTCGGACACTCATTTTACCACACTAATTTTGTATGTAATCGCACTGGTTAACGGTCAGTTCGTGTAAGTTTTAAGAGCTGAAAGTAGGGATATACAAATATATATAAGTACTTTGTACGTGTACGATAGCTCCCTTCTCTCTCCGTGTTAGGTTAGACTTATAAACGATTAGTACGTGGAACATGTCCATAGCTTTAATTGTGTCATACCCGTTGTATCAACGGGTCCTTTGCGGGATGACAATGAGCTAACATTTGGTACCACTAGTTTGTAGTTGTATATCATTACTCTTAAGATCATGTAAGTGCCTCGGATTTATGGGGTGGTCTTGACTTGTTTTGCAATCTCGTTTCCGAGAATGTTAAGTGTGAGATGATAGAATAGACCGTGCGAACACGTCACATGCGCACGCGCATTTACCAAAGCCTTGTCCAGAAGAGACGAACTAGCAGCACATTGTTTCTCACGGGTATGCTCTTACACCTAGAAGAAGCGATACGAGAACATTTAACGTCGGTTTTAGTCAATATGAAACGTCACATCATTCGTTATCACGTTCGCGCGTAGTCTGAAAGTACCTGTGGTGTCCTTAGTAACTGGCACGCAATGAGTGCGTTATACGCGCGAATAGAAAGTCCGCCATATATTAAAAATCTTATGCACAGTCTGTAGAAGCCAGCATCCAGTTCCTTTCCAATTCGCGTATGTTCACCGCGAAATCGTCCTTAATGTTATTCTGCGATTTGTGCAGGTTTGCGTCGACAACTTATCGCATCCTTTTTTTGGCTATTCACGCATAACTGTGAAATCTTACACACTTGACAGCACGCATGCAGGCTGGTAAGGGACAGTGGTCTAAACACACCCAAGAGTAAAGAGGTCCGTAATCTCTCCCTCTTTTCCCGTTGATTTGTTGCGAAATACACAATAGTTATACACCGTGGTCGTTGCGGACGCGATAATTCCTTAATTACCTACAGAATGTAATACGTAAGAGGTTTTTATGATTTTCTTTGCAATGTTCTTAAGGCGCATGTGTTGTATGTCAGTTGTATGTCTTCCTATGTAAGTTCCATCATATAAGAACAAGATTATTGTTTGTCGGAGTAATGTAACTGGTATATGTGATCGGTATTGGGGTATACAAACATCACCTTTACATCCGGCCACGTCTATATAAATTAGATATTGTATTGAAATTATTGCGGTAAGGGCTCCAATTAATACCAAATTTGAGTATAGTCGTATTACATATAGTTATCGGGTGAAGTAATCAGTAGCGGGTGTTTTATATGATACGAGTGGTAGTGGAAATTACAAAATGTAATTCATTCACAAATGTTACAGGGTTGAGAACCTTGTCGTTTACAGGAATTTATTATATGCATTCCATGTTCGACATTTCAACAATAGCGGCAGTAGGCGCGCCCGACGATTGCGTTCGGCTTTACATGTCCCATCGAGATCGCTTGTGTGGCACAATTTTACACTTGAAACTTAGTTAGGAGTTAATAAATTATAAATAGTAGGTTACCGTGGCGTAAGTAAATATATGATAGAGCGGTGTTGGCATCGGAGCGCCCTCGAGCCGCGTGTCACCATCGCGACTCACTCGTTTTATACCGCATTGTACAAATTGTAGGGCTCTCACCATTCGTGGTACGGTTCATCTCATTGATTTAGGATAACTCACTTAGGGAGCTTGTTGTACGTTCATATTCGGGCTTTGGATAGATTCACCTTAAACTTTACCATTTTTTAAGTTGTTTTTGTATCATATAGTTATAGGTAATGTTTTTGAATTATCTAAATGACTTTATAAAGCTTAATTATGCTTCAAATAAATATATTGTTTATTAATTATCAATATAAATAATTTATCTAATGCATGATCAATGTTCTATGTAATATTTAATAGTTTGCATATTACAATTACTTTTATTGCTTCAATTTCCTTTTTTAATACTTTCTACATATTTTTTTTATATCCAGGGCTGTGTGGTAAGGGATGATTAAGTGCTTTTTAATACATAATTACTTAAGATACGTGTAAATATTTTTTGCATTAATATAGTGTACATGTACATTTTACCCATGTACATACATTTATAATGTAAAAATGTTCAAGTGCTATTCGCGTATGAGTGTTCTGTATGCCACTGCCATGAAGATATGCATCTATGTTATGTTACTAATGTGTTCATGTTTAATTTTATTTCCATTTTTATTATCATTATATAAAATGGATAAACTATGTACTATAACTATTGCTAGTAAACCGGTATCCTACTAAGTAGATAAGTTTCTAATGTGACAAGCGGACTGGTTCACGTAATACTAACTGACATTCCTTTGGTTTACCATTAAGTTATACCTAGAAATATAGGTAAGCTTCCCAATAGGCTGTTCAGTAACAACGAATGTGTTTTACCTGTAAATGGATTATATCCTCATTTCGAACTTATTTTTGCATTCCACAATGTGTACAATAATATTACTGCGATTGTGGCAACATTAGCCTTCTCTAAGACTTGCATATTCTTTGATTTGTTTAGTATAACTCTATTTATTCAGTTACATTCTATAGTAGTATTGTAATAGTTCAGTGTTGAGCACAGAGTTTAATTAACATTCTATTACGTATTTAGCAAATCAGTAAGCATCATTCATTTGTTACACTAATATTAATTGCACATAGGACAATGAGGTTGTAATCAGAATTAATAAAATAATCAAAATGGATGACAAATAATTTGTGTGTATATTATTTAAGATCAATAATTAATAAATATTATATCAATATTATGATTGTACAGTTGGTTCACGTTTTCTTAGAAGGATCCTTGTCAGTTATAATTGTTGGTTTTGTGCGTTCACTAGTACGTGACGCTGGGATATCTGTCACGATAAAATTTGATTGTATCATATAACTTGTACAATATAAATATATAGATCCACGATTATGAAAGAGATTAAATATTTGCAAAAGTTAAAATTGTATGAGTTTTATTTAGAATTTTCACTTCACACATCTCTTAAAATGTCAGACTTACGAGTTATTTCTACGTAATAAAAACTTATAAAACATTAATTGGATATCGACTATGTTATTTGGCTTGGAGCTTGTTTTTGTGTTGTTTACGTTTCGCCTGTGATGTTGTGAGGTCCAGGGCCAGCGTCTGAAAAAGGAGCTCTTATTACTTGCCATAATAAGGTTACTGATTATATATATGTATACGTGTTATAGGGAATGAATGCAGTATTTCAATAGCATAGACTTTCATATTGCACAATTGATTGTCAACTGAAATCAGTTTTGTAAAGTAAAACAGTGATGATAGTAGAAATCTGTATGAAATGACAACCAGTTAAGTTAAACTTAGTTCGTGTTGAATCGATCATAAACGTTTAACATTTTTTTACGATTTAGAAAATAATACATGTGTATTTTTTTTTGCTATTATTTAAAAAAATCTACCTTATTTTTATCTCTTAATAGACAACATTACTTTTTTAAAAAGGTGAAAGTACTCGGTAAAATTATTGGTACGAATCATGTAAGCATATTGACATTACTGATATACATAATGCCCCTTTTTATAGAAATCAAGGTACTGGGTCAAATATTGTATAGGTAACTACGATCGACGTAACCTATACGTACCTCGGCGTGTGGCCGATAACTGTACTCTAATGGAAGACTTTTGAAAAGTTTACTCCTCTCTATCATGATACCTTTACTGTTTACATGTGTCATAAAATTCCTCAATTTCCTCTATTACCTTACTATCATTTCGTCAGGATATCTGCCGGTCAATACAGGAGTAAAAACTCATTTGCCAAAACAATGCACGGAATTCTACTCGTCTGCCAATTATCCTGTACTCTCCTATTTCACTACTTCTTTCTTTCCATAAATTAACGCAACATATTACTCTTTATTTTACCTGCAATCCTTGGTACATCAGTAGTATTATTATTAATACTATTTAAGGTTTTATTAAGCTCCGAGGTCATCATTTGAAATTTCTGTGTCACTATAGACAATTCGCCGAGTGCGAAGTTCATATTTTCTTTCAAGTCGATCATTTTTGTGTTTATACCGTTCACCTGAGAAGCAAACAATTTTGTTATTACTACGTAAAAGTTTGAATATGGATAGAAGCAGAGAAAAGACATATCCCATACGTCTATCGAGTGCAAGGAGGGATCGGCAGTAGTTTTGCCAAGAAAATTATTTATCACTATATCTCTAATCACTCTTAAACACCTTAAAATTACAAAGAGACAGAGTCAAATAACACAGGATCTATTAGGCGAGCAAAACTTATTGGCCATATTTACCCATGTAAAGGTATGTTTACCGATGTAACGGCCTTTCAATTCAATCCATCGAATTGAATGAACTTTTGCAACGAGTTAATTTTGCATTGCGAGTTAATTTAAGTTAACTGCAAATATTAGTTATCTACCCTAACTTTTTAAATATAATCCGATGAATATGAATAGAGATACCCTGTACTGCCTGCTGCGAACTGTTTGTTGCTTGTTATATTTCTAGTAGACTTATCCTAAAGGTAGCGCACTTACTTCGTTTTTCAGCTTTTCCATTGTGGCCGTGCTGCTATTAACATATTGCTCCGAACTTTCCTGTTAACATGCATTTTAGAAATTATTAGGTAAACAAACTGCTAAGGTATTGAAGCTGTAACATATGTCGGTCCGGTTGGCACCAATATGTTGTACGTTTAAGAGATTTTTTATGAGATGGGCGGCAAATGAACAAGGCTTCAATATTGTGTCGATAGAATGTCGTCGGAATAGTTTTGCACTTTTCGTATTCTACTATGTTAGACCAATGGCCTCCCGCTGACTTGTTACTGATACAAATGTCGTCTATGTCTTTGTAACAGTTTGGTAAACTGTACATTTTAAATTTGTACTTAAGAAAATGATATATGTATTTAATTTGCCAGGTATGGCAATGTTGTTGATATCACCATTGATGACCTATTGTACTACGAGTATATCGACAGTCTATTGACACTGAATTGATTTTAATAGAATACCGATATTCTGACCCATGTCAATGTCATCTCAATAGCGTGTCAATGGAATGACAGTGGGTTGGCGTTAACATAAAATAGCAGAATTAAGGCCCAGACAGGTCACAGAGATCTAATCCTAAGTGACTATCGCCGCCCATAGACATCTGCAACCTGGGAGACACAAGTGTGTTGATGCCCTTCGTGAACATAAGGTAGAGGAATTGGCCCTCTGGTAATCTCACGTATTCAGTGAAAAGTAACTAAAGATTTGCCTAACACCGGTTTTTTGCAGGTCGTGGAGTCTATTCTGTCGCCCATATGTGAAAAGCATGGCTCTCCCAGGTTAAAAATATTTTTTAAGTGTTTGAATAAAGTATGTAATTACACAAAATTTTTTAGGTAATTTTTGCCATATTTCACTTACAGATAGTTTAATGAGGGCTTTCTGGCTCTGCCTAATTTTTTCATGCATGATGCCGATCTGTCTCCACACGTTAGACATCTCAATCTCAAGGCTGGAAGTAAGTTTGTTGAGTGCGATCGTCTGGTTGTTTGTTATGGCAAGCTGGATGCCATCGAACCTATAGAAAAGAAAATGTAAACAAAACTGCGTATTGTGTGTACCTAAGAATGTTCAACGAATGAAAAGGCAAGCCGATTTCAAAACTAACAATATTAATGTAAACTGACATTTTTAATGGACAAGACATAAATTTTGTACTAAAATTGTATGAGGTACTAGAAGATGTCAAAGGGGAACGTAGTAGGGTAGGAAGTATTACACGAACGCTTCGCCACCTTCGCTTAGTCACGCAATCATACAACATTTTTAATTTAAGGAAGTGATAGCCATTTACAAAGTGTATTCTTGAAAATACACTTATTGTTCATAAACAATGTCACGAAGCCAATTTTATACGACTATGGTGGCAAATTAATAACCAGTTAGTTATCCACGATTAGGTACGCTGAGTACCTGCTTGTTTGATCAGTATAATTAGTAACCAATCATACATTAAACACATTAAAGTTTCGTTACCATGTAGTCAATGCTAATGTCAATGTAGTCAAACCTTAACTCCATAGTCTTCAATAGCAGACTCATCTCTTCCATTTGAACAAACTGAACTAATGAAGGCTTGACGATGATTAATGAAGCTTTAGCATGTGCAGTAATAAAAAAAATCTATAATGATCGAAAACATCTCATTGTCTCAACTTTCTCATTGTGACATGTTTTAGATAGGACATAATTTACCTACTAGATGCTCCTGGTTTATACTCTGAGAACCTTAATGAGAAGATACTAACTTTGTATTTGTTGCTTTATTTGCAATTTTATGTTGTCCCCTGATGACATCTGCCAACTGCATAATGATTTGATTGACAACGTACTCCAGCCGTTTCTTAGTAGCGAGTACGTTGTCTGATGTCTCTTGAATCATTTTATCACTTTTCGCCAACAGTTGAACCTGTAAAAGTAAACGTCATAGTTATTAGATATTAATTCACAAGACAATATTGTGGGTGCGATTCCCGTCCAGGACAAATAGTTGTGTGATGGCCGCTAATCATTAGTTCTGTCCGGGTGTAATAATGTATCTATGAAATGTATGTATTTAGAAATATTTCAGTATGAGTAGTCTGGCTACCATAGCAAAAGTTTGGGCAACTGCAAGGTTTGGGATCGGACTGCTATGTGTGAGATGGGTGAAGTTATTATTATTATTAACTCACTAAATTACGTTGTAAGTTTCATGGAAATCGCAACCCAAGTGTTCAATTTTTTATTGTTAGTTAATTAACACAACGTAAATATTTTAATATCACCTCAGCACGAAGAGAGTCATAACTCCTAAAAATGCCGTTAAATGCTTGTTCTGTCATAGTGTTGCTTTGTGTCAAACTTCGTTGGATGTCTTCATTTGTCATTCCCAACTTGTCACCCATTTCTCGAATTTTTGTCTCTACCTTTGTTGTTACTGTAATATATTTAATCAAAACAAATTCGACCAATTTAAATATTGGAAAAATAATACCAAAGTCAGTAACAGTCAAAGCTGGGAATTGTTATAAATACATTTAAAATTCTCGACGTGGCAAATTTTAATTTTACATATTGATTGAATTTTAATTTAAACTGGTTACATTTATTATTAATATGGATAAAGAAAATTTATTAAATAATTACTATAAAAAAAGTACCTATCACCAACATCAACGGTCCTGCATCATCATCTGCCTACCCTTTTCCCAATTTTATTTGGGGTCGGCGCAGTATATATGATTTTTCCATTCTACTCTGTCATGCGTCATCTCACTGTTTACTCCCTTCCTAGCCATATCCTCCTAGTGAGGTATTAAGTGAACACGAATTTAACAAACAGATTAACTTACACATTATCATGTTGTGTAATGTCGTACCCGTGGTGTTGGATAAAGCTTCGAGGGTCTGGTTTGTCGAGCGGTGGAGGTCTGCAAGTCTGGGCAAGTCTTTCCACATGCTCTCAGCATCCGATAATAACCGCTGAATTTTCTTTATATCCTGTTCTTGGCGTTCCATAACTGTCAAAATATTTAATCGTTACCTAAATTCGGCGTTAGTAACTTTGGTAAACTTAGTACGAGTACCAATGAGTTATCTTATTTCAAATTCGTAGACAACATACCTTCACTCATTTTGCTGTGCCATGCTTCATCAGCAGCGGCCACTTCGTTGAGGGGTACAAAATCTGTCTGTACCGAATAGGCGGTGCCATTGTACTCGTTAAGTTTTAGTTCGTACTTGCTTAGTAACTTCTCAGCCTCCGAGATGTGTTTCTCGAATGGATTCATATCTGAAGCTACATCTAAGCACATGGCGCGCAACGCGTCCTAAAATATAGATAGGAATTATGTCTTACAATTGGATATGTATTCTATATATATATTTGTGATGTTATCAAATATGTTCCTACGTTTTGGTTGTTATCCTAGTTCAGTCTAATTTTTCGTTCAGGTGTTCACAAAAGGACTAATATTACAAATAACAAATTTTATGAATGCATGCGTGTGTATCTGAGTGAGTATGTTGTGAGTTACTCCTTCACGCTTATACTGTTAGATTAGATGATATTTACAACATAGACAAAATGTATCAAGCAATTAACAGATAAGCACTAAAATCGAAATACTGCAACGGAACTTTATGTGAAACCTAGTTAAAATAGACCCTGGTTAAAAATGTACATATTTATGTGTTTAGTCATCTTGACCAGATTATTCAGTAGGTACTCAAATCTAAAACCAACTTGTAACATTCAAAGTATAAGTACTGTTAGTTATGTTTGTCAAATTAAATTAAGAACGCTTTATGTTTTCCAAATGCGAGCGCGATATTTTAATCTCACAAACTCACCGGATTTAAACTGTGCTTTAGATTTATTATTTCTTTATTGACTGCATCTATTTTAGCGTCCGTCGCGTCCAATCTCTTTTGTAAGTCGTCGTTCACAGTCAAGCTGTTGTCTAATTCCGTGGATGCTTTGGGCGCTGGTATCAATGTTACTAGAGTCTTTTGAATGTTTCCTAAAACTTCATTAATTTTATTTTGTGATGACTTCTCACGCTCTTCTTTCTGGAAATGAATATAATTTAGTTTCCTAATAGTTTTTATTATTAAATACTAGATACTGTTACAAAACCATTATTTAAAGACAACGAGTATCTCTGTTGGGGGGGACTTACAGAAACTATATCGTTTCACTTTAACATGATCGATTATTCGAAAAAATACTTATAAGTTATTTTCAGAGCACACAAACCTGTAGTAGTATAGTTTCAACGTTGGAAAGACGATCATCTAGTCTTGATATCATGCCTTTCAACGGCTCCAAAGCTCTGTGTTTCTTATCGAGATTATTGAGCATTTTCTTAACTTGTTCACCCAGTGATCTCTCGCGTAGCTCGTGTCGTTCCAGTTTGTCTTCTGACAGTCTGATCATGTGAACTAATGATAGCATTGCGTCTCTGATATCTTCGTGTCTGTAAGGAAGATTTAATGTGTTATATTCAAGGTTTTACTGATTTGACTTAATAATTGTAGAACAAAGGCAGATCCACGAGGAGGAAGTCACGGGTTCACAATTGATCTAGTTCGTTCGTAATCTAATTGGTCGTCCTATTTATCATACTAATGAATCCGTCTCTGCTGTAAAATAATATTTTTTGAGAAAGTCTATTCGTAAGTGCCCACGTATACGAGTAATGAGAATATCAATTTTATGCATTCGTAGTACCTAAAAAGCTACATGTACTATCAAAATTTATTTGCTTTTTTTATTATTATTTTCCCTTTATGCACAAGTGTGAGTTGTACAATGGCGGACTTAATGCCACATACATTTTCTCCAAGTCTACCTTAGGGTGGTGCTTGAATGTGTGATTAGGTGCACTAGAGATTGTAAAGTAATTGAGTAAAGTAAGTGATTGAGATATGTAAAGTAAGAGAAAATTATAAATACGATTATATACCTACCTACATACATACGTACTTACCTACCAAATACATACATATACATAAATACGTACCTAGTTACATACATACAACCTACAAATTATTAATATTTAAAACTTTAAGGTTGTAATGAATTTGCCAGGGTGTCCGTTTGAAGTTTGCCATGCGAGCTCGAACTTTCATGTTGAATGAGAGGCGACTGTGCGCTATCGTGATTTCTAGAGGGAGAGGGTTCGAAGGAACGAGGAGTGGACACAAGCGGAAGAAGGAGGGGCATAGCAGAAGAGGATTGTTTGATGAACGGAGGGTTCTATCGTGGTTGGACACAGATAAAAATCTGTTATATTCTAATGTATTCGTAGAACATACGTCTAAGATTTTATACCTGTTTATCACAGCATAATTTATTGTATAAAAATAGTTATGTTCCTGTTTAGTGTTTTACCTATAGGAATTTGCCTTGACCGATTTCTTTTGAATCAAAACCTCTAGATACGTTTACCCATTACAGTAGTTAGCATTGATTATTTGCTGTTTTCCGCTACTAAGTAATCAATATTTAACTAACGATTCGAGAGCCAGTAATAGGACCAAAATTAGGTGTGCATTTGGATTGAGTGATCTTTTTTATTTCTTAACAAAATCTGATTTTACATTTAAATAAAAATAGTCAAAAATGTCACTCTCAAGGGTCTTTTGTTATTACCCAAAGTGTGGATCACTCAATTCAGACATTTTGCAAAAACGGCTATGAGCCAAATCTCAACAAAAACTTACTCTACTGACTAAATTTTCATCGCAAAAATTTGTTAACAAATTGTCAGAATACTTTTAAAAACCATCAAGGCATTTAAAGCTAATTCCAGGTATCTATGAAAGTATCATTGGATCACTCACTACAGACTATCATTTTGTCTGAGAGGTAATAAGGTTTACGTGACTTTTCCATACATCTAGTTTTTATCGTAAAATGTATGTTTCGAATATATTTGTATAATAAATATTATAACACAAATACCTTTTCTTAAAAAGTTATGAGTAATTCAATGCTTTTAAATTTGCTGAACTGAGTCATCATCAACAGCCTTTACTAGTCCACTGCTGGACATAGGCCTCTCCTTAGAAAGGAGGTTTTTTGTTTTTTTGCTGAACTGAGTGATCCTTGTGAAAACTTATAGGTAACCTGTTTCTACTACGACTAATTTTTGTACAATTTTGTGACTAAAGTTTTACACAAAATTCAATTACTAAGTAGCTTGGTTCACTAGATATCTAGTAGAAACCGGCAAGACATTCTATAAACGTACAGCTTCTACAAAAAGGGATTTTGTATAGAAATTGCTGAATTGCCATGGTATTTCCTATAAAAGGTTATCAGAAAACCTTACCTTAGGCATTACAAATGTGTGGCATGAAGAGGTGTTTGGACGGATTGAAAACCACTTGAGCTTTTTACGGAAGTGATCATATTTGCGTAGTGCAAATATAAATCGTACGCAATAAAATTACTATTTTTTTGTAATAACCAGCTATCCAACTATAGTTATAGTTATATTACTTTAGTGATAGATGGTTATTCCAAAATAAAAGTTTGTCTTTTTATATATATATATATTTAAGTATCCAGAAATATATTTCTGGATAAATATATTACATTACACATACACAAGTACATTGCTTTTTTTACTTGGTTTCCTCTTCACATTATTTAAAATAACCTCTGATTGACATGTAAGTTTGCCAATACTCTGCAAATAGTGTTAAAGTTAACGAACTCTTGCAGAACCAGGCAAAAAAGGCTCGAAATTAAACAAGTTTGTGTCAAAACAAATAGATTTAGAGTGTAGGCGTAAAAACCTCTTCATAACGGTTTGTAAAATATCAATTTTGGGTACTAAAACCGTTAGAAGCACAAACCTTTTGCGAGATTTATCATCAATTTTTTTTGCACAAATGTCATGACTTACATACAACCGGGCCCAGACCTTCATTCTTAAAAAGATAAAAAGAGAAGTGTTATAACCCGACCTTTTTTCCCACGAAATGTTGGTTCCGCTCACGCAATAGGGGGCGAGTCTAAAATCCCGTAAGTTGAGTTAATTTTTACATTACAAAAACTAACTACTTATAAAATTTTAATTTCAAAACAAAAATTTCAGATGGTTGAATTATTTTAATTTGATTTTTTTTTATTTGAATTGCATAGTAGCACTTAGAGAGGACGAGGATTAGGAGTAGGTATAATCTGCAGTGCAAAAAGATGGACGTGTCCTTGTGTGTCTAGACATTGCTCAAATATCAGACGTAGCCTGAGTGCCACTCGTGGATTGGCGCTGAGTGAACCATTGAGGATATCCCACAGCAGCTCCAACGATTCTCTCATTTCCATCACAGTATTTGGTTTTAGTCGTCTCAACCTCAGCCTCAGTAACATGTCACCCATGAGGGTTTTTACAAAAATAGGAGTATTTTACTATTTACAAAAGAATTTGTGATCTGAAAGCTGAAAATAAGATAAAGATGCGGTTTCTTTTAATACCTCACAATAACTTCACACATCTCACACAGGGCAGTCTTTCTAAATACATCCATATTATGGATAAATTAAACCAAGACACAGAACAAATGATCGTGCTCATCACAAAATTATTTGTCCTGGGTTGGAATGGAACCCACGATCTTCGGCCTAGCAGTCAGGGTCGAAACTATTAGACTAACATGCTAGTTAGGTTAATAATGTTATGTGAGAGCTTTAGCAGAGTTTTACCTCATTATTGACACTTACTCTCGAAATCTAAGAAGGATGAAGTATTAAACCCAACTATTAATATCTGTGATAGTTTTACTTAATAACGGACAGTAGGTATATTTTCGATATAGTTTTACCTTGTTAGGACGATACCATCTGGGTTGACGACACCCATTCTTTATGGGTATCATCATTACCGATAGAAAATTTCGTTAGTGGGTGGTTATTAATGGAACATGGAGGTGCACGCTCGAACACTACTTTGAATAAATGTTTTAAGCTTCGAATTTCTTTTTTGGAACGTTGCGTTAATAGTTATCAATACAAGATTTATTGAATGTATTTTCGTACTACGGTACTAATCGAATATATAACTATAGATACTTAGGTTTAGGTAAATTTATATGAATAGGTCTAACAGCTGTAGGTTTAAAAACAATGGCATAATTTTTAGCGCCTTATCACAGCTTCGCACTGACGGTAGGCTGCGTGAAGCGATGTATGTACATACAAAACACATGACATGCCTTGGACCGATCATGTCTATAAAAAACAGAATACAGCTGAAAATTATTTCCTACTGCTATACAGCTGAAAAATCCTTCCCAACTGAAAAGCCGTCTGCCGTCTTCTCGACCCATTTGTCACTCAGTCAGTCGAGTTGCCCTTTGTTATTATCGGGCGTGTGTAACCGCTTACCATTACACGATCCGTGAACTTGCTTTAAAACAAATTTGTATAAAAAGAATAAATTAAAAAACACAGTTTATTAAAAAAAAGTGAAGTTTATAAACTTATGGTAGACTTAAATGGATCATTTTACATTATAAGTAATAATATAATTATTGGCCAATTAAGCTTTTATAGCTTGTGCGCATTTTCTACTGAAATGCAATTAAAATAATATATTCTTATTTGTTTTTATGCAGTAACGAGAACAATAAAGTATAAAGCTATTAAAACCCGTGTCGTAAGCATATTAGATATATGTTTACTATATTTATATATATATTCACATCTAATACGGAGTAATTACAACTTGTGGGATATTATTGCATACGCCGCACTAACTCTAGTTTCAACGTTTCGTTGTATTTTAGGAATGTAATGCGCATCGAAATAGCTGCAAGAAATCATTTAAAGCGTATAGGACACCTGATAAATAAGAAACTTTAACAAATCTATCTTTGTCGGCCTATAATTTAATCTCACGTTGTCAGTTTTAGAGACGACCTCCGTCCTCCATAAGCGCAGGCCTGTGGGTGACAGGTGATGCCATGTGTCATCTAGCAGAAGCAGGCCGGTGTGGGCGACGCTACGGAGCGCGCACGCCCTTCAGGGCAGGCAGGGAACATCCGGGTTACTACACAGAAGGGGGTCATCTATCAACCGTAGATGGCCCGAGGTACGTCGGGGTACCGGGGCTTTCCTTTCTAGGGTATGCCTGTTACCCGGGTACTGGTACCTGGAGACGGCTTGCGGTTTTTGGTCGGTTCGAGTCCAACATGATCCCACTGGTGGGTAGTATCCGAGGGGAGTTTCGCACAGAAAAAAAAGGCACTTGACTTATTCCGTCTGCCAAACGATGCCAGTACTAAGAATTTCCTAAAGGACAACAAAGGACCGCAAAGGACATCTCCAAGGGCTTAAATATCGTTATTCACTAGATAGGATAGATAGATAACATCGTCAAGTAGGGGTGATCTAGAGTAATTGACTTATCTCCATTTTTTGAGCGTGAGCTTATCCATAATCATTTACAAGTTTTTCGGACTATGCCAGATCCCAAAGGTACCATGAAACCGATTCTCCTAAATGCGATAGGAATTAAAAAACAGCCCGAGTAGCTCTATTCTGTAGGAAAATTGTGGTCCTTGTGGTCCAAAACCAAACATTTTTTTTTGTATCAACCTTTATGTTTTGAAATGATTAACAGATACCGTCACAATTGAAGGAGCACTTTGTAACTCTATTATTATCAATTTAATTTTAAATAAATGCCGTTGTTAATAGTAATATTTGTATTCTTTGTGTGAACATGAGAAGCATATTGTGCCACTGTGTACTACTGTACATGTCATAAGTTGCATATTAAATTCACGGACGACGATAGAAAGTGACGACTAAAAAATACACAGGTATGAAAACAATTTAAAAACCTTTTTTTTATCAGAAATACTTTATTTTTTTTATTTGATTCTTAAATTAAATACATCTATCAAAGTATGACAATTTAAAATGTAAAATATGTGAAATTTAAAAGGTCCGCGTGCCGACCCGTACTGCTAACGAAGTCGCGGGTACCAGCTAGTTTAAAAAAAAGTTTATATATCAATCTGATTGCAGCTTTAGCTGGGGGTAATAAATGAACTTACATGATAATCTAATCGAAAATCTAATTTCATTCATTCATGTATCAATGACATCTAAAATCAATCGAGCGACGGGGAACCCCCCATCCTTGAGCTACTACAGTTTCAATCCCGTTTTCCCATTCGAGACCCTTGGTTTGCTTAACTTCTTCATATTTATTCCGTCTGAAAACGATATCATTCTCAAGGAGAGTACAAAAATCAGCCAAAACCTTTTTTTTAAAGACAACTCCCGCAATAGGAATATATCCTGTGTCGCGGGGGGCTTTACAAACATACACAAAACGAACACAATGAACAACTTGACTCAGAACAACAATTTGTGGATCACACAAAGTGTTGGGGATCGAACCCACAACACCCAGCGTAGTAGAAAGCGGCGTGACCACTGAAACCACTTCGCCATCCGTGCAGTCGTCCTTTGCCCATTGTTATACATAGCGCCGTCCCCAAATAGAATTGGGAGAAGGACAGAAGGATGATGAAATATACTCACACGTGTCCAAATTCTAAATTAAATTTATAAATTTAGTGCTCTATCCATAGAACATCAATCGACACTTAAATAAATACGCTTTCATATTATGGCCGCTTCCTAGGCAACCGTTTAATGAAGATTTACGAGTTTACATGCGTTAGATCGTTATGCATTTCGGTTGGATATACCAATGATACCTACTTATTTGATTTACGACTGGAGCCAAGAGAGCTTATGACTTCAAAAGAAATTAAGTTATATAAAGTTTATGGAACTAGATGACGAAACACACTCATAATATTTAAATTTTGAATAATTAATACCAGCTTTTGCCGCGTTTGGCGCCGGTATCAACAGTTATTTTTAGTTTATTATTCTGACACTTAGTACTTAATGGCGGTTTCTTGGGATGCAGGTTACGCTTTATCTTTGTTTGCATCAAAGCTTTATGATAACTGCGCAAACAATTAACAGGATATATAACGCAAAACATAATTAATAATAGAACTAGTGGTTGATGTTTTACGCAAAAAGACAACTTTTCTGTTAATTACACACACAACATTTTATATGCAGTGACCTATTTACTCACACATATGTAGGTACTCAGGTAAGGATGTATTGTAAACACTTTTTAAGCCGCTATACAGCCTCAATAGATTTGTTTATCCATCACAATGTTCCTACGAGAATAAATTATACAACACGCAGTAAATATATTTTTTACATAGTAAATAGTTGGTATCGGTGTTAAAAAAATGTAGTATATACCTACTACTAGCATGCTCCCACCTGATAAACATTTTCAACCCATACAACATAGAATATTGGTTAGAGAAGGAAAGCACGGCACGACCGGTACTTGGTTATTTGCAGGTACAATAATCATAATATTCTCAACTTCAAAGTTTTCAGTCATTAGTTAAAATATTAGCTATCAAAATCCAAACTGTAGTTTCCTCGAAGCGTTTGTCGTCAAACAATTAGTTCCGGCCACAAAATATTAAAGTTTACGTAAAATTCATATTGTTGCCTCGTAAACAGTTTTGCGTGTGTTCGGTTTGTGTCCAACGGGACTAATTTTATAATATTAACGAGCAATAACACATTTGCAAATGTTTAGGTTACAATGCCCTGTTGGAGAATCAGCGTTTATTTGCAATAACCAATCAAAATGTTTTATTGACTAGGTCATATTTATTGTATCCTTGCTTCAACCTGCAGCCTCGGTAGCGTAAGAGATATTGTTCCACCCCACGAGAATACTTGACATTTTTTTTCTTGAGGAAAGGTCAAAATTTTATGATGGTTGAGTAGTTAAGGTGTGAAAGCGTATCAAACAAATAATCCCATTTTTAATGTCAATTAGGATTAAATTATTTAGCACATTGGAACAGGTGAGGTCACCAATCACTGAACTTTTAGGTACGTAGGAATGGAACATATTATATACTGCATATCGGCAGCAGGTTTCACATTGCTTTCACGACTTCGGTTTTAAAAGGTAAAGTTGATTCAAAATCTCTGAGTTTTCTTGAGCTTCAAAGTGTTTAAGCTTCCTTATTTGATACTTTATTGTATCTAATCATCATCATCACTTTAATAGTCCACTTCGGGACGAGCCTCTCCTTAGAAAAGAGGTTTTGGCCTACTATTTGTATAAGGTTTGTGTCTGTTTTACTTCTGTTTGCAGTGCTGTTGTCTTTCGTAGTTTGTAGTCGGATCTTACGACAATAGGAGTGGTGACACTTCGTATTCGTAATCCATCACCACACGGATAATGCTATACATCATCATCATCAGCCTATCGCAGTCCACTGCTGGACAGAGGCCTCTCCCTTTGCACGAAAACTATTATAATATTGTATGGAATACTAGCATATAATAAGTTACTGTGGCCTTTCGTACCATGTGCAACTACAAATAAAGCCACTGGCAATTACACAATGGTTGTACTTACGTGAATTCTCTGCAGTGTGTGTGTGGTGCCCACAACAGTAACGTAATGGCGACCCACCATAGTCTCTGGGGACAAAAGCCAACTTTAATAACTTGAATATTAATGAATGTTTAAACTAACTCGTGACTTCGTGAGCAACGATATGCCCACTACAAAATGTATGGTGTTTTAAATATGCGATATGACCAGACAAAGCTACTCATTTCGTACGTGATCAGCTAGGTACGCCTGACAATATAGAAGGATACATTCAGGATAGACTTTGTAGGGGTGTTGATTAATGAAACCTCCTTTCTAAGGAGAGGCTTATGTCCAGCAGTGGACTATTAAAGGCTGTTGATGATGATTAATGAAAGAAAAGTGTGCGTTACCCCAGCAAAATAATGTCGAAAATGGTCATTTAAACTTTATAGATAATTAGTTGCTCCCCTTCTGTAATTGTTAGGCACATTTTTAAATTTGTTTCACTTAAACTTTTTTAGTTATTTTAAAAAAAACATTTCCTGCTGGGGTAACGTTTGAAACGTTACCGCAGCCAGACATTTTCCTTTTTAATTGTAATATTGAAATAAATTTTAGCTAAATAATTAGTTATCTGGACTAGGTAAATGTTACAACTTATTTGGTATTTGTATTTTCTTCGGCTGCGAAGTTATTCGAAATCCTGCTGGAGTAACGTTTGTGGGTTTGCTGGATCTCTGAAACGGGTAAGCGGATTGTAACCATCTTTTGTACATAACTTCTTAAGGATTAGTTTTAATTTGTTCGACAATAAAATAACAAAAATAATGGACTGTTTAAAAATTATTTAGGTAAGTATGAAAACACTTCAATACGTCCTAACACTTTAAATAAGACCTCTAAAGACTTACTTCAAACTTTATTCTATTGCTTGTAACTACCTTCAAATGTATACGAATTTTCGTAAGAATACTGTAAGTGACTAAAAAGTTATGATGAAATAAATGTAGCTCTCCACGTTCACGATCACAATGTGTGCGGCCTTTTTTGGCCACCGATAAACCTGTGTGCGGATATATAAACTGAATGTTATGCCAATAATTAGTTGTTTAGTTCAGTTGTCTACCTGTAAAATTTCAGCGTAGTACATATAATAATTTACGAGATAATTAAATAAAAGTCATTAGAAGGTGCAAGACCGTGGTAACCCGACCATGTTTAGGTGGTTACAAAAAAGCGATCACCCAGTACATTGTGCTGGCTTTTAAAATATGTAGGATATTATTTGCAAGTTTTCTACGGATATGTACATAAGTGTTACAAAAAACTACATGTTTTTTAAAATAATTTTTATTTAGGATTGTTTATTGCAGAATTAGTAATCAGCCGGGAGATTAGGTATTGTTTTGAATGCTTTTGTTTTCTCGTAATCTTTAGGTGAATTGTTTATAGTTGTTCATAGAATTGGTACCTGCGTAGTATTTGTTAATTGAAGTTTAATTTTAGGGTAGGTATAGGTAATTAAGGTTTTGAAGAGTGTAACGTATGCGTTGTAAATAGGTATTTTGTGAATAGATGGGGATTTTTTTAAGTGATGAATCGACTTAGGCTAGCATATCGCGAACAAACTCTGTATTGCATTATTTCTGTAATAATGTTGGAGAAAATAAAATATTTGATCACAAAATCGCGGTGAGTTAAAATATAATAAAATAAATTATTTATGTAAAATTAGTAATAAGTGATATACCTACCTACAAGTTATGATCGTTTTTAATTTGTTCACCCTGAACGAAATTTCAATATTAGCATTAGTAATTAATATCCTAAGACAAGAATTGACAATTACTTAAATTGAATCGAATTAGCATTAATGCCCATTATTAGTAATTAGGTACACACATATTGAAGAACTCTCAAGAATACGATAAATATTTGCAAAAATAGAAAGCGGAAGCGCACACGTACTTTACAACACGTATTTTATCTGCCTAAGGGTCAAGTTTAGTGCACTAGATGCAAATTGCAAACAATGAAGTATCCCTTCGCCCCTCCCCTCCCGCGTTCTAGCGAAGGATGTATTATCAGCGATTCTTGATTGACAAATATTATCTGACCAATAATTTTATCTATAAAAATGTATCACTTTCACTCGATAAATTAAATTACCGTTATTATATCAAAATATCATTCAACAACTGATCGTTTTTAACAGAAATCAACAGTCACGGGCTCAACGCTTAACGGTAGGTACATAGGTATAGATAATTCTCGTTTCTCGGTATAGACCACAGAACAATATTACCTACTCTTACGAGGTATACGACTGTTGGGCGATGCAATGTTGATGCATTCTAATTTACAACTGTATTCTTTTACTATTCGGTCTATTTTAACTTATTGTAGATGACTTGTTGCTTCAAATATTTTGATGCATTCAAGTCTAAGCTCTATACAACCCAAAATAAAGTACAATTAATTTAGTGTTATTTCTTTACAAAAAAAATCAAAGAAATGAAACGATTTCTTATTGGTTTAAATTTTCGATTTATTGCAGTCAGGTGAATCGTTCATACATGTATCTACATATTTATAATTTTAGCGGACCAGTGCAGATTTTCTGTTGATTGTTGCCCCGGTAGTAAAAAAGACTAAAGAAATTTTAAGTAAAGAAACTAGTGCTTAAGATCAATTAGGGAAAAAAACAAAATAAATAATAGGTAATAATAATGAATAAATATTGAATGTATTTAACACTGTACGCAACTGTACCGAAATCGTAAGGTGTATTACACTAAACATTTTAAAAGACAGCGCAATGTACTGGGTGATCGCTTTTTTGTAACCACCTAAACATGGTCGGATTACCACGGACTTGCACCTTCTAATGACTTTTATTTAATAATCTCGTAAATTATTATATGTACGACGCTGAAATTCTACAGGTAGACAACTGAACTAAACAACTAATTATTGGCATAACATTCAGTTTATATATCCGCACACAGGTTTATCGGTGGCCAAAAAAGGCCGCACACATTGTGATCGTGACAGTGGAGAGCTACGTTTCATCATAACTTTTTAGTCACTTATAGTATTCTTACGAAAATTCGTATACATTTGAAGGTAGTTACAAGCAATAGAACAACGTTTGAAGTAAGTCTTAAGAGGTCTTATTTAAAGTGTTAGGACGTATTGAAGTGTTTTCATACTTGCCTAAATAATTTTTAAACGGTCCATTATTTTTGTTATTTTATTGTCGAACAAATTAAAACTAATCCTTAAGAAGTTATGTACAAAAGATGGTTACAATCCGCTTACCCGTTTCAGAGATCCAGCAAACCCACAAACGTTACTCCAGCAGGATTTCGAATAACTTCGCAGCCGAAGAAAATACAAATACCAAATAAGTTGTAACATTTACCTAGTCCAGATAACTAATTATCTAGCTAAAATTTATTTCAATATTACAATTAAAAAAGAAAATGTCTGGCTGCGGTAACGTTTCAAAGTTACCCCAGCAGGAAATGTTTTTTTGAAATAACTAAAAAAGTTTAAGTGAAACAAATTTAAAAATGTGCCTAACAATTACAGAAGGGGAGCAACTAATTATCTATAAAGTTTAAATGACCATTTTCGACATTATTTTGCTGGGGTAACGCACACGAAAGAAAATACTTAAAATAAGCCTTAGGATAATTATTTCATCGATGTAGGTAGGTAGCCTCTCGGTGGAAATTATGAGATAATAATTTTAAAACACCAAGGAGAGGGTGGAAAGAGCAAATGAGCTAATCAGCACTCTCATATCCCGCAGATAAATCAATATTTTTCAAAATAATATTCATTTGCACATAACAATTACATAATATATGTAATGAAATCGAGACTCAGTGAGTGATCTTGATAGTGATCTTTACCAGACCAGTCATAGCTGAAACTGTTAAATGAAGTTGGTTGATATTTTTAACATAAAGTCTTATTGTGTGATAGAAATCTGTTTAAAAGATAGTTTGATAAAACTACACGAATGAGGTTAACATATATATGACAAAATCATATTCAGTACAGATATCTTCGACTAGTGATAGATTTTCTATTACTTAATATGATAATTTGCAGGATCATTCCGAACAAATAAGTTTATAACATATTAAGCGGTTATATCATAATAAAAGGTTATTTATAAAAGATAAATAGCCCAGGTATAAACCAATTTGGGTAATATTTTGAAGTTGGCGGGGCATTGACGTCGCAAATAACATCAAATTGGAATAAGTTGTCATAAGTTTTATGTTGTACCAACAAAAAAGGTAAAAAGAATCTGATTGTAGGTATCATTTATTCATTAATCATGTTCAATTGAAGACTGTTAAGGATGTATTTTCGTAAGTCGCTATGACGCGAACGGCGTGTCACATATGTACCATCGCGAGTTTTATAACAAGATTAGTTGTTTATAACTTTTAATTTAAGGAAGTAGGTAAAAGTTGACTATTTCTTAAACGTTATCACCCAAATCAATGAGATAACTTTAACACACACACACACTGATCTAAGAGTGTAAAGAAATCTATCGAAAATAGTGTAACGTACTAAAATATGAAAAATCTTTATTTAAATTTTACAGGGAACAATGATGCTAGTTTTTAGGTATGCGTTATGATGGAAAGGAATTAATGAAGCTTTTTATTATTACTTTACATATTTAATATTCTGATTTTAAAGGACTTAAAGGTAGTTGATAATCATAAGTAGCGGTAGTGACTGCACGGATGGCGTAGTGGTTTAAGCTGTCGCCACGCCGCTTCCTACTACGCCGAGTGTTGTGGGTTGAAACCCCATATGGGACGACACTTTGTGTGATCCACAAATTGTTGTTCTTTGCGTCCGTTTTATGTATGTTTGTAAAGTCCCTCGCGACACAAGATATATTCCTAGAGCGGGAGTAGGTTCCTAGTCTTTAAAGAAGAAAGAAAAGAAAAGAGAAACTGAAGTTTTGTAGGAATCATGATATGAATGAAACCTTTATTACATTCACCTTGTGGTGAATGTATTAAAGGTCCCATTCATAAGAATCGAATAGTACCGATTTGTATCGGTA